TAGGGATAGGGATATATCACACCAACCATCTAGTCACTTCACTCACTTCACCTACTTATACGCGCGCCGCTCACCATGTCTGTATGTATCATTTCTAGTCGGTACAAGACTCGTCGTCCGCTTGTAATTCTCTGTCTCTCTCTGGCATTCTATGCTACCTGTCGTCTATCTACATATCTATTTACTCTATCCGACGTACGATCCTTCATGACAAGACGCCACGCTGCTGGCTGGCGACTGCAGTGCTGTTCGTCCAAGTAAACCCTTTTGCTCCCCCAGATACGTAGCTCCATGCTTGACGTTTTCATGCGGCATAAATTTTCCCTTGTTCATAGCTGGCTTCTCATACGGTCCTGTCCTCTTTTCATCAACCTTGCTGACGCGGGTCTCTATGCTCCCCGTTTCCCCGACATTTCACAACATTTCGTCAATTCATTTCGTGATATCATGTTGCTGCGCGCTTTTGTATGGTAAAGTTGAAGCGACGTATATGACTTCTTCCAGGAAAACCGGGTCCATTCGAAACATCTCAGTCGTTCTGGACAGAAATATGTAGCGAAAAACGTGCAGTGTTGCGTGCAAAACGCACCCCAGGCTTAAAAAACAATGAAGTGGTGTGTTAGCGCCCAGGACGAATGCTGAGAATCGCGCTGTCCTCCCTCAAATGACTGGCGATACCCAATCCAACAATTTGACGATAAAATGCGCTTCTCGAGGTTGGCCGGAAGACAAGCATCGACTTGTTTATCGAAGTGTCCGAAACCTCCAATACTGGATTAGATGTTTCAGCTCCGCCGCCCCTATTCCCTTCTCTTTCTAAAACCATAAAGAGGTCGGTCGTCACAGCAGAAACACGTCGACACCGACCTCGTTGCTCCATCCAGGCTCTAGTTCCATCTCCTTCCATGCTGAGGCAATGTTGATCTCGAGAACCCCACTTCCCTCAGGTCCGTGGTCTGCATTAAATCCAATGACATGTTGTGGCACAGCCTTTCCTTGAACCATGACCATCATGTCTTCCACCTTGCGCTGCCGAGACTGGACGTCGGATATCCAAATGCCGAGGACACCGAGCGCCTTTAATTGCACGTGTATCTTGAGTCGATGAGGGCTAGTTTCGGAATCAACCTCAGAATGGTTGAAGCTTGATTCCACAATCGCACATGCGCCTGTGAATTTGCCCAGAAGACCCAGCACAGCCACGTCGACTTCCAGATTCGAGACTGGGAGACGAAACGTGTGCACAGGGAGGGACGTCCAAACGTCGTACCCTCGCGGGGCTAACGTGCACTGAAGCAAGGTGTCTGCTCGGATCGGATCGGATGGGTGAATGGGAGCGGTGATGCGTTTTGACATGTGTGAGCGGACGATCCATTTTCTACTCGAAATCTGTGTTGCTCCATCCGTCGAAGCAGGTGCATTCACCCCTGGGAACTTTGTAATGGGCAGGATGAAGCTGATCTCCGATTCGGCGATGTTGAAAACGCCCAACATCCCCGAGCCGACGTCGGACCGGCCGTCGTAGACACCAATTTTCAGTACCCCCTTCTCGTCGTACTTGTCGTAGACGCCCATGGTCTTGCCAACGCAGCTGGGGCGCAGTATGACCGTCTGTCCTCGCGGATTAAGCGCGGTCATCTGATGAATCAAATCCACATCGTGCTCACCCGGGGTGTCCGTGATATAGATAGGTCCACCAGAGACACAACGTGCCGCAGCGTGGAAACCACTGTACGGATGACTCGATTGAAACATGTCCCAATCAGGAAGAATGTTCAGATGCTGGGTAAATAGAGCATTGTGCGCATTGACAAACACGTGCCAAGCATGGGATGTCGGAACATCGGGAAAGAAATCGTCACTGTTGCGAAGGAGAATTCTTGGGGTCGTCGTGGGAAGGAAACTGTGGAAGAGAATTTGTGGAATCATCGACATGCATGAGATAGCTTTTCCAGAAAGATGGCGTAGATGTGCCTGGGTCCAGGCAGACTGATAGGCGTTGGTAAATGACCGTCGATCAGATGTGTTCGCTAGAAGATCAAGTGAAAACTGAACATCAGTCTTGACGCCAGTGACCCCTGAATTGGACAGGAAGCTGTAAAAGTCGTCGTACATTCTGAAGATGTCGTCCGGGTGAATGGTGAGCTTACGTCCAGCCATTGGGGTTCCGTCACGGAATGTGACCTCGAGAGTTTTATACTTCTTCGCGATAGCGCCCTCGGGAGAGATCCCACCCCAGTATCCCATCAAGGCGTGCCAAACAGCAATGTCGCGTACCGTGGGATGAGCCTCTTTGATCTTGTCTATCGAAGATTTGAGTCCGTCAGGGAATCCCAGAGGGTTGGCCTCGAAGTCTTTCCACCCTCGATGGAACTGGTCCGTCGCCCCTTGAGTGCCGTCAAGGGACTGCCAGTTGTCGTCGATGATCAAGGTTGAGATGTAAATCTGGTGTTTCGCAAGCGAATCCAACCCTGCCATAATCTTTTCGGCGTTCAGGTCCTGCCCGAGGGAGTTCCATGTGCAGTACGCCAGGCTGTCGTACCAACTTGCCAACCACTGTGGATTCACCTGTGGTTGGTGCGACGAGGGTTCGTTGTTATTGACCAAAACAGTGTCCGAGTCAAGCGACTCCGACCTGATACTCTTTGGCAGCTGCTCCAGTCGTTCAAGGTTTTGCTGATAGGCTGCTGACTGTCGAACTAGTTTCCGCATCTCGTACATGACGGCAGCATTTGCGACTTCGAATTTCCACGCCGTGGCTGCCAGGAGCTTGAACTTGCGATCCCGCCCGGAATCATTTCTCGCTTGGACCACAATCTCGCCTTCCTGTGTTGACCCGAACTGAGTAAGGACGTCGTCGATTCCGTTGATTGCTAAGATGACGACATGAAGACCATCACACCTGAGAAACGACAGCAATATCGCCGGTTCCGATAGATGCAGTTGATGCTCGCCATGCCGCGGGGCAAACCATGGTTCCCATATCCGTACCAATGCAAACCACCGGCAGAGTTGAGTTACTCTGCCCAAGACAAGCGATTCGATTGTGGCATTGCCTTCGGTTGGGGAAGGGATCGGGAGAGCCGACTCAATCGTATAGAGACGCGCTTCTGGCGCATCGCTCGGGGTTTTCCTAAGAATCCAACCTTCGCTGACTTCAACTGGCGATGCGCCGAGGAAGGTGGGGTCAACGGGGGGTTGTAGAATGAGTTCACCATCGCGGATACCGAAATTGTGATAGACCCAGGACCATTCCGAATCGGGATCAACTCGATAGCGAACAGTAAACGGAACTCTTCGACCCTTGTAAGTTCTGTCGGCCGAGACGAAGGGGCTGTCGAGATCTCCAGAAAATGTGTAGCGGTAATTATCCGTCTGAGAATCGTCATAAAGAACCGCCGGAGTCGTGTCGACTAATTTGAGATCGAGTGCGTGCCAGGGAGCCTTGGTCCCAGTGTAGCTAGCGTGATCGTACCATATTGAAACCTCCCACGGCCTTTCCGGCAGTGATTTTGAGGACTCAAGAACGACTGTGAAGTTGAACTACACTAGATGTCAATGCGACGGACACGAGGTGGAGGAATCATGTGTCGGAAGAGACGTCATGACCACGCATGGTTCGGAGCGACCGTCGAATGATATTCGCCAGGCTCTGCCCTGCTCTGCTGAGGACGAAACAAGTTGTGGGAAAGAAACGGGGGACTTACTTTGTCTCTTGTCGGAGGGACGACCGTAACCTGGGCCAGTGGAGGATATGTTGCCAGTTTGGCGAAAAGGGCCATTTGCGCAGGGCGATAGAACTTTATCTGGGTCGGCTTCGCAGGAGGAGAGGCGTGGGAGGGAGAGGAAGAAGGAATGGCGAGATTGGAGAGCGACATGTGAAAGAAAGATGCATAGCAAGACTAGGAAAATGATGATCCAGAGCGTGCAAGTGGCGCGGCTTGGAAGGTACAGCAATGAAGAAACGGCGATGGTCGAGGGGAACGCGATAGAGAGCCCGGGGGTCCTAACTTGTGGTGAGCTTGTCGGATATGATAGAGGGACCAATAATGGCGTAAGCCCTGGATAGAGTGCTGGTGGTGCCGGACAGCCAGACGTGCGCCACAGAGCTTGATGGGACCCAGGGGTTGGTAACACGGCAATGTGGTTGGTTAGACAAGGCGGCCGATACAAGGCCCAGCAATCGGCCAGTTGTAAAGTCGTCAGATGTATGTAGGGATGAACTCCCCAGAAACTCCGCGAGCCACTATTCAACGCGCCATGACATATTCTCGCAGCTTCTTCTCACGGCTCTCAATTCCGTCCCACAGCACCTTCGAGGAGTCTTGTTCGCTGAACCAGGGGGAGGGCGGGGTGGCAGAGTGAGGGTCTCTGATTCGAGTCCGAGTGTTGGAGCGTGGGTTCGTCGGATGGCGAAGGGGAAGAACTTGCTCGGCTCTGTTTCCGAACTCGCCCTTGGTAAGCCTTTGTTCCCGTCTTGTCCTTATTCCTTTTGACTTTTGATGGGGGTGGTGAAAGAACAATTGTGAGGGTGGTTGAGTTGTTGAGCATGGACGAACCGAGACTTTGAATGGACGGCAACCTTGAATCTGACCGTGTCACGTGTGATCAGACGCCCGCACATGCGCCTTTTCGAATTTTGTATCTTTACTACACCTGGCAACCTACTGTACGAGGTACTTGTATGCCACAATTCCACCAGTACTTGGATACCTTTCTGAACTTTCCTCCTTGTACACATCACTCACGACAAGTGCGCCGGGGAAAAGTCAAATGAGAACCCGTTTCTTGTCGTGGTCTGATCTTAGTGACCGCTCTGAATCCATCGCCCCAGCAGGCTCCGGTCGGGTAGCAGTACATATGCCAGTCTAGCCTTGGAATACTCGGGATCTACAGTCGCTATCAGAGTCCTTGTAACGGGTGCCGGCCCAATCGAATCAACGCGGCCGCATATGATCCATCTCAACCCCCCCTGTCTTCTCGTTTACCAACCCGGCACTTCATATTCCGTAGACATCCTTCAATTCGTCGTCTTCAGATGCTGAATCACTGCCAAGGTCCACGCCGCTATCCGCAAACCCAGGCTCGGTGCTGTCTGCACCCACATGGGCCCTTTCGCGTGGCAGCTGGTGCACCAGAAACTCCACCGGCGCCCGTTGTTTTTTACTCATTACTTCCTTCATGTGTTCCTGCACGACCGGCAAGATCTTCGCTGCTTTGGCGATCGTCTCTATCGTCCGGTGATTCAGTGCCTTGATGCTCATGGTCACTGGCTGATAATACTCTTGCTCCGCTAGCCACTTGTCTTCAATCTCGCTCTTTTCTCTCGCAGGCTCGCCGCTCGCTGTGATCTCGGACCCCTTGCGTTCCACTAACCACGAGCAAACCATCTCTAAACCACCTGGACGTATTTCCAAGACGGCATACTCGGGAAAGAGCCATCTATCCGAACACGCGGCCTGATTCCCAGACGGTACACTGGTAATCTCCATGACAATGTGCTTGATGAAGGGCTCGGGTCGAGCTGAGGGAGGTGGTGGTGGTGGCGGCGGCGGCTGAGGATGGTACCCAATGTAGCTTCCCATTGGGGCTCCACGCCCAACTGGTGGAGGCGCATGTGGAAATGTGTGCATCACTCCTGGTAATGTGTTAGATCCGACTGGTGGACCTGGAGGAGGACCACGGGGAGCATTGTTCGAATGCTGACGTGGCTGTGATGGTAGAGGATTGTACGTCGATGATCGCCCGGGTGCTGCTGCAGGAGAGGGATTTGACGGCAGTCCTGGAGGTGCAGGACTCGAGGCAGTAGGTTGGGGCTCCAAGGGCGGTTGCCTTGGGGGTTCTGCAACCGTCGGTTTTGACGGCGGCTGGCTTGGTGGCCGCGGTTCGCTTTTGGAAAGCCGCTCTACCTCCTGCCGCCGGATTACTTCATTAAATTCGTCGATGTGAGCCTGAAACTCTTTTAATTGTTCAGGTGAAGCCATTGAAGTTGCCACAATCTTCATCAGCTCCTTCAACTGAGGATCAGACGCTGCTCGTGCGGCCAGCATTTGTATAACTGGATCTGTCGTGCTGCTTCTCCCTCCTGAAGGTGGATTGGGCTTTGAGTCCGAACGCGGCGTCTGAGATTGTTCATGTGGGGGTTGGGCTGGCGGGGTGTGTGATGGGAACGCAGCAGGACTAGGTCTTGACTCCTTCTCTTGTTTGAACTGGATCGGAGGAGGCCCCGTATGGGAAGGGGACGGAGCTGCCGAGGGCGGAGTATCTGTAAGCGGGGCCGGAGGATTGAAGGCTGGATGCGCAGCTGACGTGGATGGCGATGGTGACACAGAAGATGGAGGTGGATGCGGTCGTTGAGCCTGGTTATACGGAGCAACAGGAGGATAACTGGTATAGGGAGAAGCAGACGGTGGCGGTGGAGGCGGAGGAGCCATGTGCTTGAGGGTATGTTGATTTGCATGGCGTGGGAATGGCGGAGGAGCCGCCGGATCGCGAACAGTGTAGAAAATCACATCAAATGTGTGAGGCTCAATCGTCATAGTTGCAGCACCCAGCCTTTGCATCGTTTTAGCATCGGGGTTGTTTGGGGGAGCCTCGATCACACCCTTCCGCTTGACAGGTTTGACCCAGTATTTTTGAAAGATCCCATGGTAAAGCCACTGCATACGAGAACGGTGTAGGGATGCGGCAAGGACTGCGCTCTCTGCAATCGATTGATATTCATGCACAGACAGACCGGAGGGTTGTTTCTGTTTTGCCGTAGGGAGCGGCTGGTTCGCATCAATGCGAGAGGGTAAGGCATCTTCCGCGACGGAGATCGAGGGAGATGAGCGCGAAACCGAGACTGGAGTCTGAACTCGAACGATACTGGCTCTTTTCTTGTACGGTCGCTTCTGGCGGGGTTCTGAGGCGACAGCGGAGGGTTGTCTGCGCGGAGTGGGAGTGGACGCGGATACAGGAGCAGAAGGTCGCGCAGGTGAGGACACTCTTCGTTTCGAGACCAGGTCTCGTCTGTCACGGGCGGGCAGAACCCGTTTCTGAGGAGTCACCTCGGCCATGAGGTGATAAAAAGACGATCTGTAGGCCGAGAAACCCTTGTGGCTGGTTCAGATGGGAAACAGTGGAGGAAGCATGAACGGCGGCGCATGTGCATCAGGAAGAATTACACAACGTTGCCGCAACTCGAGGAAGGTTTGCCGGGCCATCTTCGCTCCCTGCGGCCCGCAGCCGCAACCGCAGTTTCATCTTCAGCCTCAGCCTCGACTGGAGATAGGAGTATCTTCAGTCATTGATAGCAAAGCCCCAGCAGTGTCTGACCACTCCCACGTATCTGATCTCCATGTGTCATCGCTACCTGGAACACGAAGCTTTCACGATGAATGTGTGAAATTGACCTGTCGCACCCCTTACTCCTTTCCGCTCAACCCCGATCGTCCGAGTTTGTATTGCAATGGTCTTCGACAGTTTCTTCCGCCGAGCCTTCTGGGGCCTGGCTGGGTGTGGATTGATCTATGCCGTAGCTATGGGTGCTTTGACCTTGCCGGTGGTCCAGCGCAATGCCACCTACGTCCACAAATTCAATCCCACCTATTTTCAGAATCTGAACAATACTGAGCAATTTGGTTTCCTCCATCACCAAATTCAACCCTTCGCCGTCACCACCCCTGACAATGTGACTTTGTTTGCCTGGCATATCCTCCCTACACATCTCTACTCCAAGCACGAGAAAGCCTTAACTGAGCAGGCAGATTTCGGCCTAAAGCCCTGGGAGATCGCTTCCACGACCGTCGGTCTTCAACTCCTTCTCAATGATCCGACTGCAGTTGTTGTTTTAGCCTGTCATGGAAATGCTGGCCACCTCGCCTCCAACTACCGCCCTTCAGCATATCAGCAGATGCTGGGTGTGTCGACCCCAGAGAAACCGGTCCATGTCATAGCCTTCGACTACCGCGGATTCGGCCTGAGCACAGGTAGTCCCACGGAGGAGGGTGTTATCCAGGACGCTGTATCATTACTGTCTGCTCTAACCGGAGAGTCCGACAATGTCAAGGATCGACGCAAAACAGACCACCGGTATGTGGATCCTGCCCAAGTGGTCTTGGTTGGACAATCCATGGGCACGTTTATTTCGACGGCCACCTATTACGAATGGGTGATAAAACTAGGCAGAGCACCGCCGAAGGGCTTAATTACTATCGCGAGCTTTACTTCATTGCCCAATCTGCTCGAGTCCTACTCGTTCAAAGGCCTCACTCCTCCCATTCTATCTCCGTTGATGGCATATCCTCGAGTGCAAGAGTGGTTGCGTTCCCACATTGTCGACAAATGGGACGCGAGCTCTAGGCTGGTGGAATTAGCAAAGACGCCCGAGGTCCAGCTCAACCTGGTCATGTTACATGCGCGCAACGACTACGAGATCCCGTGGCAGGAGGGTCGTGCGAATTGGGAACACATATTGGACTCTGCAACCAACGGCCTAGTCGACTTTCCGCGCAACCTTGATCGAGAAGAATGGAAGAGCAAGGACGGTAGAAAGCACCTACGCTGGGAAAGGATTCGACACGGAGGGCATAATAGAATTCAGACAAGCGAACAGGTTCGACTGGCGATATTGCGACTGATAGAAGGCGAATAGACTGGGCTGCTAGGACAGATGGAAGCATTGCAAGTCGAATACCCCGTAGACCTTTTTGTTTTTGGATGGCCGTGTTGACAAGGGTTCAGCGGTGAGTCGGTGGCAAATATAAGAGGCACAATCTGACGAGAAATAGCGTTGAGGAGCGATTCACTGTTGATTCAAAAGGTAACCTCAGGGCCTCCTTAGGCATAATGGCTAATTTCTGATTTCTTCATTCCTTCACCGTGGTTTCACTTCCCTGTTATCTTGAGGCCCTTCGCTGAGCTGTTGACTCTGGCTCCCCTTTAAGTCGACATGGCTCTCGGTAGCCTTGCTGATTCCTTCTCTGACACTGACTCTCTTCTCTCTGATCCACCCACAGATCTTGACGATATGGATTATGCAGGTGGACAGGATCTGAAGCGTATACCTCCCGCTGCCCACAGACAATGCTTGAAGCGCAGTTTCAATTCACGCTCATACCTTGCTGACGACCCCGTTGCCGACTCTTCCGGGATGGATGGTGACTGGCATCTGCCCAGGCAGCCGAAATGTTCTTCTCATAACCGCAGCCAGTTCGAAGGTGTGCCCAATGAAGTCAGTACTGTGAGAGCAGGAAGTGTGAGACTGCCGCTGACCATCGGGCAGATCCTCAACAAGATTGTGACCTTTCTCCCGGATGATCAGGATCTCCACAACTTGATGCTCACCTGCACGACCTTTGCGTACGCTTTGACATCTTCCCGGTCGGCAATCTGGCGTCAACGGTTCAACTCGGCCTTCGACTGGCCATTCATCGTCGACATGACAGAGTTCGCTTCGGCGTATCAGTTACGGAAATTTGTCCTCCAGAATTTCGTCGAGTTCACCGACCCGGACGACGAGAGATTGCAGATTCAATTGGAGGTTCTGAGAGATATGCTCCTGGGTAAGTCCAATGGCATTCACTAGCCAGATACACGATGCCTCGAAGCTGATCTTTTCCCAAACAGAGTCCTACAATCAGCAGTCCACGCTCCTCCCTAGACCATCGACCTCTCGCAATCTCGCAGCCTTTGCGTCTGTAAGCTCTCCATGGGCACGAATATTTCTGTCCTGTCCGTTCTTCCCCAGCCGCGGCGACCGATACGGCCAAGCACATTGCCTCTTTGACTCGATCCAGGTTGTGATATCCCATCTGCTATTGTCACCGGCTTCCCGCATGGCCTCCACCGTGAGATCATCCAGGACGAACTATGATCTGGCCATCGTGTACAACTGGGGAAGCCCCTTGACTCTTCTGTATCCGAAAGAGAAGGGGAAAGGGAAGGACAAAGGAGAAGAGAATGAAGGCTTGACAAGAAACAGGACACGCAACAAACGACACCGTGACAGGCTACGCAGACCACCTCAACCTAGCAGGCCGACGCACAAGCTCGACACCCGTTCTCTGCTCCACATTCGCAACTTCTGGCACCGTCACCTTATCCAGACCGCGAAAGGGTCCGGGGCGAGGGACATTCTCACCGAGAATACATATGCGAAAATGGCGCGAGAGCTGATGCGTCATGGAATCACGCCGAAGCCGTGGGATAGGCCGCTCGCCGAAGGCCCGTTGCTGCAGATTCCCACCGAGTGGTACGGACACTATTCCACACTGGCCAATTGGCCGAGGAAGCGGCTGGAGCTCGAAGAGGTCCAAAGCCTGGCAGAAGACTGGCACGAGGTTGATCCCATGGTAAGTACCCGTCCCCACAAAGGGCACAGACAGATAGACAGAGACTGATTGCGTCGGGTGAAGAAACTCGACTTTGCCATTTCGGCGGACAACCAAGTCGACGGCTTCTGGTCGCCCATCTTCAAGAGCGTGCCGGCTTTTCAAAAGACACTCCCCGACCTCAGCCAATGCGTCTTCATCCGCGGGCTCGCTCCTTTTGTCCAGCTATCACCGCCAACTAATCCTGCGAGGGCATCCGACGCGGCGGGATCGCAGTCCACACTCACGCTGCCGGCCGCGCCAGAACTGTCCAAATATCACCCTTACTTGGCCCTTCGTCTCCGTGGCGTTGTCCACTCCATCCCCGCCCAAGCTCTTACAGACGACGATGAGGACGATGACAACGACACGGATCAAGACCCCGGTCTACCGGGATTCAAGCGCGTCGTGATGATCCTCTACAAGCCCAACAAACGCTACCTGATCCAAGTCCTCGAGCACGCCGAGGAAGAGTACGGCGAGACGTACGCGACAGCGCTGACGGCGCAGATGGCGCAAGGTAACAGTAACGACAACGCAGGCGTTGGCCCTGGCCCTGGCCTTGACCCCGCGCCCGCACTCGCGCTCGACAACGCCGCCGAGATCGACGCGCGGCTCGACGAGTACCTGCGCACGAAACTCGTGTCGAACCCTCTGTGGCGCGACGGGGCCAACTTCGACAGGGACGCGGTCGAGGAGATGGAGGAAAAGTTCCGCCTCAGCGAGTACCTGGAGTGGAACGACATTGACTACGCGTACGCGTACGAAGGCGCACTGCTTCCCGGCGGGAAGATCATGTTGGGGAAGTACGTTGAGTCCTCCTCCTGCTCCTCTAGAGGGATTTTCATCCTACCATTTCTGCTAACGCCATTTCTTTATGATAGGTGGTGGCGCATCACCATCCTCGGCGACGGCGAGGGGTTGGAGTGGAGCGACAGACTGGGCGACCTGGACGAGGATGTCACCGGAGAAGGACAAGGACTCGACCACCCCAGCGACGGAGACGCCATGGACCTGGACCTGGACCTAGACCTAGATCCCATCACAGGCATGGGAAGTGGCAGTGGCAGTTCCGGTACCACGCACCAGCAAGGCGCATCGAGCGAGGCTGGCCGCGAGACCGGAGATGCGAGTCTCCACAAGAAGCGCGAGCGCGGACCATTTGTTTTCTGGTGTCGATGAAATACTTACTTCTTTCACAAATCGGCACAGAGAATAGAAATGGGGAGGGCGACGACGTCTCCTCATTTTACCTACCTACATAGCGAGCTACACAGGTATTGCACATGCTTTTACCTTGCATGTATCTCCCCGAAGGATGCAAACGATCTGGATTGATCTGAGGATATTGGGATAGTCAATCAATCAATCAATCAAGATAATGCTCGAAGCTACTCCTTGGGTTTGAACATTCATCTAACATCTATCAAGGTCCTGAATATCGACGTCTCTCGGGTCACTTCGTCCTCGCCGGTGCTGGACTCTGCAACCACCAGCTTTCAGGGTGGATGGAATGCGTCGCACCTTCAAGTGTCTACCCGTGTCAGAAGGCGGCGCAAGAGTGATAAGCCAAAGTTTCCGTCTCTCAGCCTCGCATTCTCTCTCAACTTGTGTCAAACCTGGTTTCCGCAGCCTCAGCCCGCAAGAACCTTCCCACTTCCGTGTTTGCAGGCTGGTGTTCAGCAAGTGCCTCCAGCGCCGACTCGTCACGTCGCTTGGCTCGGCCAAATAAACACGACCAGAGATCTTCCTTGTCCACTATCTCTCCACCCGACTTGCCCGAGGCAAGTAGCCGACTGAGGTTGGCGGCTTGTAGCTCCAGAGAGTTGGCGGCATCGATTGCATTCTCTTGAAGAGTCTTGTTCAGATGGGGGGTATTTCTGCCCGACTGGGAGGCCGAAGAGGCATCGGTTTCGTTCTTGCTCTTCATGTGTGCCAGTCGCCGCGCTACACTGATCTCGTAGATGGACTCTTCAACGGTGTCAGCGATAAGGTACATCCATACTGTCGTCGGCCGGTGTTGTCCGATACGATGCACTCGCGCAATTGCTTGCAGCTCGATCGCCGTGTTTATCAACGGCTCGCAGAGAAAGACATGGCTCGCAACTACAAGATTCAAACCAGCGGAATGCGCCTTTGCATGAAGCAGAAAACACTCAATGGCCGGGTCGGATTTGAATTTTTCAGTGCCGTTCTTGCCATCAATACGGGTCGATGAGATTTTGTATGCTGAAAATGCCCGAGCGAGCACGTCGATGAACTCGCGATATTGTGAGAAGATAATAGATTTGGAGCCGGGGTCATGCTCACGGAGCCAGAGCAGATGACGGCAGAGGAAATCAATCTTACTGCCAAAACTGGGGCCCTGAATGTCAATGTTCTTGATCTGATTCAACATGGTGGTGCTGATGTCAGAGTAGATCGACTGATCATGATGGTGGTCCGTGCTCGACAATGTGGAAGCTGAGGTGGAGCTGGACGGAGATTCGGCTTGCACAGCTATCTCGGCGGGTTTGTAGGTAATGTCATGAAAGCTGTTTGGAAGCAACCTGGTCTTACACACAGGGCAATTGTGGTGTTGACTGACCCATAGGATCAAACAGCTTTTGCACGTCAAATGCCCACAGTTGGTCATGGCACCAACCTCGAAGCTGTCAGTGCAAATGACGCAAATCCGAGGCCCTGTCGACTTGGACTCTGTCTTCATGTGCATTAGATATCGAAGTTTGGCAGAACCGGAGGCAATTCTCTGTTGTAGTTTGGCTTCTTCGGCCTCAAACTCCTGGTAGTGTGGTTCGAACAGAGGCTTTCCCACGTTCTCTTCCTGGTACGGTGCGACAGTGTCCGAGATCTTTTGAAGCGCACGGTAATATTCCAGCCGGCTGTTCATTGTATCGCGGAAATGGTTCACCTCCTGCTCAAGACTATTCAAAGCTTTCGTCTGTGCCGAATTGAGTTGCTGAACGTGTTTCAGAATACGTTCCAGGATTGCCAGTTCCTGGCTGGCACGAGTCTGGTTGTTCCCTTCTTGCCACTGCAAGGAAGATGCCATCTGCCTGATTTCGGCCATAATCCCACGTAGACAGCCCAACTTACTGACCTTGACACGCGTTTGCTCACGCTGGGCAAGCAACTTCAGCATCAAGCTAGGTGCAGGGCCTTCCCCTTCCTTGGCGATCCGGTAGAACTGCTTCATTTCCTGTCTGATGAGCAGGTTTTGTTGACCGTTGATGGCCTCGGAACGGTCGGCGAACAAGGCTCTGAGCGCTTCCATGTATGCGTACATCTCGTCTTGGTGCTTGGTCGAACTTTCGTATTCATCACCTTGGAGTTCGATGCCTTCATCCTCGTCGATAAGGGCCTGGCTCAAGAAGTCCGCCATCTTCTGCCGCAACTCATGAAATTGCGCTGCTTGGGCATCCATCGCTTTGCAGTAGTGATGCAGTTTCTCAAAAATCCTCCTGCTTTCAATCCCGCCATACCCCGAGGGCTCGGTCATAGGTGGTATCTGCGTCACCCCGCTTGCCAAGTTGGACCTGACTGTGGTAATCATCTTGTTTACATGACTCGTCGCCTCTGTCAGCAGCTCTCCACGAATTGACTTTGCCTCTTCATATGCCACCGTCTCCTGTTTCTCCAGTTGCTGGTAATCCTCACTTTCCGGAGGATAGTTGGATTTGAGTTGAAAGTACGCATTGGCCATGAAGAAAATAGCAATGTGCTGAACCTCCAGAGCAGATCGTAATCGAGCCCTCAAAGTCGTCAGCCTTGGATTCGATTCTTCATCGTCTTGTTGCTCCTTCTTGGCATCCGATAACTGCCGCTCGTCTTCGTATTGTTTGCGGCACTCCGTTACAATACCAACAGATTCGTCATAAACCCCTTTCCATATCCGAAGAGCTTCGTCGGTGTCTTTGGCGTTCTCTTTTAATTGCCCTCTCCTGATCTGTGCGATCAATTTATTTCGCTGCGCGGTGCGAAGCTGACTTTCATGCTGATCTATCATCACATCCAGCACTTGCTCCACCGTCCGAAGGGGACCGTTCGTGTTTCGACCCAATGCACGCCTATTCCGACCTCCAACCTCAGGATGGAGACATGTCTGTCGTAGACGAGTCAGCCAGGTCCGCATCTTCTCTACCGTAGCGGGGGAGTCTGGATCCCAGTCGTCTTCCAAAGGAGCGCCCGTTCGATCGAGACCACAATCCTCACAAAACTCCTGGAAAAGCTGGGCATAGTGTTGTTCTTCGATGGCGGTAAAGGGGATTGTGATGGTATGTCGGCTTTGCGGTGGTAGTCGTAGATCCTCACGTACGAATTCCTTGGAGTGTCTCATGGCAATCTCTCCCAACATGTCCCGGAAGAGAGGGCGGTGGTAATTAATGAGGTAATCCCACAGCCGCGGTGATCGACACCACGGCTCGTATCGAAGGAAGAGCAGGAGGCCAAACAAGTCTCGGTGTCCTTTCCGAAGAGGGGTTCCCGTGACTGCCCAAGCGTTGTGCCGTGGGATGAGGCGAGCCACTGTAGCCGCGGAAGACACACCACTCTCAACCATCTGAGCCTCATCTAGGCAGACACGCCACCATGATATCTGAGTCAAAGGGCTCTTTGGCGTCTCCTCTCGTTTATAGCGCAGATTTCGATCCGGCTTCTCAGCGACGTAATGAACTTCCTTTGCTATGACATTGTAGGTCGTCAGCACCACGTCTTGGCTGAGAAGTTGTTCGATTAGCTTCTCTCCCGATTTCCTGTAGCTGCCAACTCCCGTGTAATGGAAAACACTCAGTGAGGGAGCGTGATTCTGAAGCTCGTCCTTCCACTGCTCAAGAATCGATGGGGGTGTGATGATCAAGGTTGCAGGAGACGGTTTCAACCCCGGAAGATTAGGTGTCCAGGCTGTTCTAGCATGCAGGCAGATTAGAGCAATGATTTCCAGCGTCTTTCCTAAACCCATCTCGTCTGCTAGAATCCCGCCTTGGATGGACGCAAAATATTCCTCGACCGCAGATAGATCTGTCGTAGTAACTCCCAATGTATGGTTGACATAGCAAGCCCCATTGTGCACTGTTTCAAATTTTTCAAACCCTCTTGGAAGCCGACTCTCGGACGATTCAGGCAGCAGCTCAAGTTCGCCGTTCGTTTGCACAGCCATACCTTCTCTTGAAAGGAGCCACCGAACAGCACGTCTCTGAAACGGGTACAATTGCGAGTCCAGGTGTGGGATCCGAATGTCTGCAGAGTTGGCATCTGACTTCTCGGGAACGTGAACATTGTCATAAAACTGACGAGGGTTCCAGGGTTCGAGCGCAGGCTCGTTGGGTTCCGCGGGTGGCAGATAACGTCCAAGCATGTCAAGTAATACCGGGTCAACCTTCTCTCGAACAACGGCGGTATTCTCCCACAGAATGCAGACTTGGATGCAGACCTCGTGACCCACGGGCTGCACCACGGCATACGCACAAGCGAGTGGCAGCGCCGCGGGATGTTTGTATCTCACCGCCGACTCCAACTTTTGAACGTCTTCGAGGATCTGCAGATCCCTCGGTGACAGACCATCAATCGAGATGTACTTCCCGATCCTGCCTCGCCCAACAGAGAATCGAATGACATGGCAGCTCTTCGACTTGGTCACCTCCAGCACAGTGATTTCCAGAGCAGCGTCGTCGGGAGTCCGGTCGAAAAGGTCAGGGTCGGGCGTCGAGGCTCTCAGGTGCGCTTGGGCGACTACAACGTATTCAGAAAATGGGGCTGCGGGGGCAATGGACGGTTGGTCGAGAGTTGGTGAGACCTTGCGTCTCTTCGGGGCAGGCCCGTCGAGAGCCTCCATTGTCGGGTCCTCAAAAAAACGAAAACAACAAAACGCCGAATACAAACAAAAGGTAGTGGATGAAGTGAGGCTGCAGCGTTCAAGTGACAGTTGTGGCAATGGCGCGAGGCGTCCTTTTCGAGTTTATCGATAAGCGGTCACGTGGGAGGGGGCTGCCTACTCGCTGGGTCACTAGCGGGTGACTCAGCAAGGGTCCTTTGGATAACTCCGGATTCCCGGGGACAACGAGCTCCGCCTATGGCGCGTTAGAATGGGCCGTATATCCTCGTTACCTACGAGTATCGAGTACTTGCCAGAGACCATGCCACTCCATGCTCCTATGGGAAGTCTATATCGTGTCAATTCGTGTGAACGTCTCAGGTGCCAACGCACCATTTGTTCCAAGATTAGCTGGGACGAAGAGCTGTCTTCGTCACCTACGCTGCCTGATTCAGCCTCAGGCTCCAGCCCGGCAGCCTACTGTGTCCACCGTGTTCTGTCGTACTCACACCCAATCGCAACCAATTTCAACGGGGTGGCGACTTTTCCTGTCGAGGGACATTCGCTGCCTCTGTCTCTGTGTCCTCGTCGGCCGTCCCTCCATCCTTGCATTTGCTCTCGAGCGTCTCAATGTGCTTCAGCAGCGATTGGTTGAAGTCTCGAAGCATCACAATCTCGTCGGATTGCGACTTGACCCTTGCCCTCAACTGCTCGAGCTTGGCCTCGCTGCGCAATCGGTGATTCCGCTGCGCTTTTCGGTTCTGTTCTTTCCTCCTCTGTATATAGAAATTGGCTTAGCCGAAATGACCCCCTGGTGGTGGAGGGAGGTAGAAGTGACATGTGGATTGAAATGTGAAAATGCGAATAGGTCCACACTACCGGTGGCTCTTTTTCTTTCTCGAAACTGACCTCTTTCTTATCCTTTTCACAGTTCTTGCACGGAAGATGTGGCGGGTTGCATCGACCCTGGCCCGGACACTCAGTCTCTGTATCAGGACCTCCCTGGACAGCAGAGTTGGTGCGCGCTAGCTGCAAAGCATCATTCGGACTCCCCGGCGCCTCGGGCGCAAAGTCGAGCGGTGAGTCAAGGGGGGAGAAGTCGTCTGTAAAGCTGAGGGTTTTGTTGTTCGACACAAAGGGAGACGTTATTTGACTAAACTATGAGGTTTGTCAGGAACGGGCCCTGGTGTAGGCTCGATGCTGCGATCCACCTTACATCTGAAAAGTCGGTACATATATCCATGGCCATGTCGTAGTAGTCCAAAGACTCCCAGTATTGTCCCGGTATGTAGAAATAGGGATTGTCCGCCGGCCGCTGATATTGCTGGGTCGCTCGATTCTGGGGTTGTGATGGCTCTTGCGGCGTAGCCAGACTGCTCGCATGGAAGACAGAGATGAAGCTAGCCATTCCATGAGCACCCTGGGGAGCCTGCGCCCGTGGTCTGGCTGATCTTTCTTTCATTGTTGTGAGCAAAGCGCTACTGCAAGCCCACCGCTGTTAGCATAGGATGAAGGTAATGAAGATTGAAAAGTGCATACCCAACCAGCAAGGCGTAGTAAGATGTGGTCAGTGATGAATGCGCGGCGTACACAGGGATGGATGCTGTAGATGGTTCACTTGAGCAACCTTGTGCGATGAAGAATGTTGGGAGACGCTTTGAAAAGACCGCGTTGCAGAGACTTGAGAAGAGGAGAACAACAAGCCAGCCAAAGAAGAACTAAAGAGGACGAGGACAACCAAGTGTGGCTTGCGTCTCGGCGCTTGTCCCCTCCAGGGTGGGCAGAGACGGCGTATCTCGAAAAGGAAATGGGAGGGGATGAGTTTCAAGATTGTACCTGTCCAAGGTGTGTCGCAATACAGATTAGTTAAGGCATGCAGCGGACGAGCGTGAGGCATGAGGTGCGAAGCACGAGCTTATGGCTCCTACAAAGACTCATTTCCCCTCGCAAGGCAAAGGCTATACTCTTCCTCGTTGGAGCTACCCACTGAGAATGCAATTCGGGAACTCTACAAGGAAAAAGGTCGAGATTGGGTGGAGTGGAGCCACGTGGAGCGGCAGTTTGTCCTTATACACGTTTGGGTTTCCCTCTGTGCGACTGTTGTCGAGTTCCAGGGCTGAAACGGGGTCCTTATCTAAAGTAATTCGGGGTTCTCCCAGTGGCATATGGATTCATAGAAAGCGACGAGTCAAACCGCGAGGCAGGCCACCGATTGGATCAGGCGTCCTATGCCCGAATCGTTTTCCCGTTTTCTCGAGGTTTAGCACCAGCCGGTGATGACCCGGGGGAGGCATGGAATGGAGCGAAGGATATGCATTTCAGAGGATCCTCCTGAAGCTCATGGCTAGCCCCGTGGTCCCTTGTTCAGGCGAGTACTCAGACGGAGTACTTGTAGGCAGGGACAGAGGACACGGCAGCATGTCGCTTAATGTGGGGGTTCTCAACGGTACAATAGAAATCCACCCCATGGCTTTCTATTGATTTGTTCAACAATTTAGTGGGTCATCAGTGGGTCCTCGGTCCTATCAAATGTGGCGGTCAAACCAGAGGGAAGGTCTGCAGCAATCTCTTCACGGTTCCGTTTCCCAGTATACGCATAGACGGGAACGCAGCGCCCGGGGTCAGAGTCCCTGATTCGTAGCTCTTCGTCGACCCAAGTGAGGGGCCGTTTTCAAGTCATGCAGGTGTGCCTGGCATGAGTGATCCACACATCTCTTCCCCTTCGAAAAAGGAATGTGTACTTCTTATGGCGAATATGAAATAATGACTGGACTTGTGGTGCCCACCAGGTATTCGAGTGAATTCGAAGGAGAGGCATATTGGATCCTCAGGTCTGCCAAGGAAAATCATAAGGCGCAAAGGCTACTCCATGCCATGCCGTCTAGTCGGAGCACATGTGGTGATATCATGACTTTCCTCTCCCAAAAACCCACCCATCACTTCGCGTGGAGCCCGACGGGAATGCCTGACAACCATGTCTGCGCTTGCTTAAACCCCTCGAAAGGGTCCCTCTCCGAAATGAGTCAGCCCGTCGCTTAGGATAAGTCAGCAAAGCCCCGACCGCCTTAAATCCAACCCCCTTTTTGTACAGAACGAAACAAGAGTCACGTGGTCAAATGGTGAGTTGAGGATAATGTATAGAGGAATTTGGTTTCACTTTTGGTAGAGGAAAATGGACGGCTAACAGAGTCGGAACAATGATAAGAAAAGCGTGCAGCTCGGGTCAGAACTGAGGTGGCGACAAGACTCCTCGAGTACTCTCTGTTCGCAACTCCACGGATTACGAACCCAGATTGCTGCTGTTAGACCCAATGAGACGCTCTCTGTCAGAGTATGCCGTTTGGAGATCCGCCTTCTTCGAGTTCTCTATACTGCCGAGCAGGTGCTATGGGGCAAGAGAGAACCAAGGCAGTATCTGTTGTTACATCCACTTGCCTGGCACCAATAATACGAGGGTCCCCGGCCTGACAACCAATTCGACAGAGCTCGAGTATTGCTGGCGGTGCTCGCTCATTCAGCAGTGGGTTTTCGTAGGGACAAGAGACGTCTGCCCAGAAACGAGTTGCCTCGGGTCGCTGTAGCTTGGAGTTCGAACGGAAATGAACGGGTGGTTCAAAAGTGAAATGAGACATCGGCTGGGTTGAGGAGAGCACGGTGGGGACCATTGCGTCGTCAAAGGTTCTCCTTGGCCTCTGTCAGTTGAATCACCAAATACTAGGTGTTCTTCTTCTGGAACGGTCTATTGTTAGCGAGAAGTATGATGGCTGACCTCTCCGGTATTAGACATGAAGGGAGCCAGTCACACTTGCTCGACACGCCCACAACAAGCACCTTTCTTGGATTATGGAGTCTCTTTTCTTCACTCGTCATAGAGGCTGGGTTTGGGGTGTGATCGTTGTCGGATATATTTCGCTGTCTGTTGCGCTGTGACAGCACACCGATTGTCTAGTCTCCGATGGTAGCTGCAGCTATCGTGACAAGAAAGTCTTGTGAACATGGGTTCCAATCTCCTCGGACGAGGCAAGACAGGTCTCCAGCTGGGTCTGAGCTGCAGTAACTTGGGCATTGTCGCCTGTAGATCCGGTATCCATGCAGCCGTCGTCTCCATGAAGTGGGACCGCAGCTTCAATACCACTTCACCTTCGCACTCGTATTCGATCGACATCGAAGTCGGGCTGGGGGTCATATTCCCCATGGCGCTGCCTATTGGATCCAGCAGTTAGGCATCATAAGAGACGTTAGAGGGTGGCAAGATTATCGTCGCTCTTCTCGGTCGAGTCTTCTTGGATTTGAAGCCTTAGGCGAATACAGCAAATAGGTCACCACCAGTGATTGGTACCAGTATCATGGTCGACTCGATGAAAACTCTATAGGTTGTAGTATGTCCCACAGAAACTGATTGTGTCCACAGATAGATCACAAGCACAACCTGGTCGCAAGCATGGTGCTGCTGGGCGCCGGAACGATGTCTTGGTGACGGCTCTTCATTCTATCCATCTCTTCGTATTGGATCGTGCGTAACAAGCAGTCAAGAGTTCGATCGACCCTTAGGATGTTCTTAGCCATAGGGTCGCATCCTGAAGCAGCATTTTCAACCTTGTCCTCACAAACCCGGGCACTTTTGGACGTTGTTTTCCTGCCGCCTTCTCTTGCCGCCGAGACCTGTTCACATGCTTTTATCGGCCGACTGGTTCACGACGGTGTTCTCGAACAAAGACCTGAACAATTCTTTAGTCAGCTACAGACACAATGTTCGAGGCCATCAGAGATGAAAATGGGTTTCCTCGAGTGTCCAAGTATGATAGATGGTGAAAGGTTATCTGTGTACTCGGTACCTCGTCCCTGGAAATCTCCAAGTTGGAATTAGTAATGCCCGACTTGGGCGCTGGGCACAGCCTCATTCGTGCGCTAGCAATGATTCTTGGATTCATAATCACCGCATCGAAGAATAGAGAATTTTGCCATCGCAGAAAGATGACCAAGGACATGTCGGAATACTGCATCTCATACTGGTGGGAGATGGTGAAAGGAAAAAGCATCGAGTTTTTTGTTGTTGCCTGTCCATCTCGGATCTTCAACGTCCCGTACGACACGTTTTTTTGCCACGCTGAGCCTCTGAAGCAGCGCAAACAGCGCGACTAAACTCAGCTTCGGAGTAACTGGTCATCATGTCTACGGCCGAGCTGCATGAGGTCGGGCCAAAATCCCCAAGGACAAGCCATTACAGCCTCTCGTTGAGTTTCAAAGAGCTTCCTGCAACATCACATTATCATCCGAACAGTGCCGCTTTCAGTCACATAACAATAATATACAGGGTGAGCATCAAAAGTACTAGAATCTTGGTCACGGCCCAGGCCAGACGCATCCTTGTCGTACGTTGATTCTTCCGCCAAAGCCGCCAGAATTTGCGGATGATACCCTGAGCAAAAGGTCCATCAGTCCACATCCATGTCACTCTCGTCTCCCTCGCCATCCACATCAGCACGAGAATCGTCATCGTCCATGTCTTCGTCGCTTCGCTCAGCCAACAGATCTTGGGTGATTTCATCATTGAGATCTCTGCCTCCAGTTCGGGTGGGTGGTGTAGGCCTAGCCACTTCAGGAAGGGACTGTTGTGCCGGATATTCACGCGGGCGTCGCTTCTTGCGCGTGCCATTTGTGAGTGGTCGAGAAGGGGCTGCAGTGAGATTATCTTCGGCGGCCTGGTGGCGTTGTTGGAGTCGGGCATGGTATACGGCCAGATCACGGTCTCCACCCCAGACTTCCAGGCGTCTCCCTGTCTTCCTCAGGACCTTGGTCCATGTTTCCACTTCCTCACCATGATCGTCGGGTTCATAGCCAACAGGAACATGTCCGGACTCGGGTTCGTCGCCATGCCATCTGCGGCCAAGCACCCCGGCAAAGCCAGATTCTCCCGCCTCCTCTTCCTCTTCGCTGTCATAGGTTGGAGGGAGCTCACTAACTCGCCTGGCCGCCTGCAGCAACCATCTGCACCCTTCCCTTAACTGCCGTGCTTCCTGGAGGGCTTGCCTACGACGTCTCCGGAGGGCCCATTCGACTCGACGCTGTCGATGTTCCTCGAGTTCGCGCTGATACCCTGTCCGAGCCCTAGCCTTAGTGCCGGTGCCACCAGCAGCTGGCTCAGGTCGGCCCCCTATCACGTCAGTCTCGTTCTTGCCTCGAGGTGTGTTAAACTGACCGATGACTGGATGGTTCCCAGTGCCAGGGTGTAGCGGTTGAGGCGTCCCTCGATACCGATCCATTGTGTCTGGAGTGCTAGCATTGCGGCCTGATTTGAGCAGGCTCCTGGGGCCATCACTCTGTCTGGCACCTCCTCTACTCCGTGTCGGTGTGTTCTTCCCCCTGACACGCTTGTACCGTCCGCGGCCAGGGTGTGGGTCAACAGCTTCCCAATCATCATCCAAGCTGTCGGCTTGACCCCCAAGAGCGCTGCTCATAACGTGTCCGTGGGGACCAACAGACTCTGGCGCTGGGGATCGTCCTACACCGGGACTTGCCCGTGAATCCACGTCAGAAATAAGGGAGTCCTCGTCCCCGTACGCAGCGCTTTTCTTGAGACGTTTCAGGGCTTTGTGGTCTGGATTTCCTGGGTCAGCCATCACCAGGGGCGGGTCATTAGCGTTCTCCAACATGATCCTCCGCCTTTCCTGTGTCATTTTCTCAGCAAAGGCAACTTCCTCTGGTGGGTCAATATTCTCAGCATCACCCTCTGCCTCCGTAATAGTTGTCAATTTTGGTACCAGTTGTGGTACTATGTCGGGATCGTTGGGGTCTTCGTCTTCCCTGTACTCTCCAGGGCCGTATGGATTCCGCAGTGCGTCTTCCTTGGTAAAATTTGACTCAAGATACCACCACATGAGCCACAAAAACGCCCTGGCCCTGGTTCCGGATGAGATGGTTGGCCGCATGGCAAGGTCAAAGAAGTCAACTTTATCAGTAAAGTGCATCTCACTGATCTTGGGCGCAAACTGGGAGAGGACGAAGATCAGATTGACTGGGTTCGTCCTTGGAATCGGTTTCGCCTTGATCGCTGCAAGTGTGCGAGGCTCGTCGGTGTCCTCACTTGCACCCTTGAGGATACTTTTCAACCGTGGCGCATCTTGAAGTGACTTGTAGTCTCTTTGACTTTTGTAGGCTTGCAGAGACGGGATGGAATGATACGTTCTCAGCTGGGCTCTCATCTCTGGGAAGAAGTTCAGTGTCGTGTTCATGCGGCCCACATTGACGAGGAGACATATCATTGCCATGTTATGCGCCGCCTGTCGATCAACTTGAAGCCTGTCCTTGAGGATCTTGCTTGTCTTGGAACTTCGTGCCATGCAGTCCACGTATATGTCGGAGAACAAACAACCAGGTTTGCCATCACTGACTCGGGTGAACACTGGCTTCGTGTCTTCGATGACGATCCGCAAGAATTCGTACTGGATCTCTTTGCGCCAAAGGGGCGTGCCATCGGGCTTCTTGATATGTCTAACTTTGCTGCCAGAGTAGACTGAGCCAACAGTGCCGTTGGCCTGTCTCCTCGTGCCGACCGCAGTTCCAATTGTTCTGGGCTCCGATTCGGGAGTGGCTTCTGATTTTTTGGTCCGTGAGAGAGGCGCCGAGGCAACACTGCCCTCATCTTCAGTGCCTTCGTGAGGTTGTTCGTGTATCCAAATTGCACCCTTGCGGGCTTTTGATTTTCTCGCAGATCCGGCTTTGGATCGGGGCGCTCGACGACCGCTCGTAGGAGTAGGCTCAGCGGGTGTTTCTTCCACTGTTTCGACTTGCTCTTGGTCAAGGTCTGCAAGGTCAGGCTTCGTGTCTTCCATCTGGTCGTCGATGGTGTCGCCCTCTGAAGGCGCCGCCGAGGGCTCGCGTGAAGTCATGTTGTCGTGAATGTGAGCGCAATGGGCCAGATATAAAGTTAATCATCAAGATCCGATCATCGTGATGAGTATGATGCAGCAGAGGATAAAAAGTTACTCAGCTGTCAATGAGACTTTGAGGAGCGTGGTCTCAAGCCACGGTCCCGCGATGCTTGCAAACGGATCACTCACCACGCTAACACGTGACGCCAGATCTTGGCAGCCCTGACTCGATCTCTTCCCGTTCAGGCTTCTTGATCAAGGAAAGTCACGCACGGACTTAAGCCCAGTGGCGAAGTAACCGGCATGCACAGTAAGTTCATTTATTGGCGGAGATGAATGGATGGAGTTAAGTGATACTCACAATACCTCCTTTGCTTCTCAGACCTCGACCTGACAATGCGGCTGGTCTGGTCCCTTCCGACACGCCTTGAATGTTCCAATGTCTTCAAGAAATCGACAGAGGCATGAGTCTAATGCTCTATCGTATCCCAGTGGTGGCTGTCGCACCTGCAAAATTCGACGCATCAAGGCAGGAATCCCTCCCACGATGCTTATCCAGCGGCTGACATTTGCTCACCCCGCAGTGCGACGAGACACGACCGACATGTTTGAGATGCGTCAAGTCTCGTCGCGTATGTATCAGAGCCACGCCCCCGAGGGTCGACTTTCTGATCCACATCGAGAACCGTTATGCCAGTGGACAATCAAAGCGGCCGAGAGGACCTCGCTCTAGCCTCACTCCAGCCCTTCACCTGGACCTGCGAACCCGTGCTGTCATTTACTATCTCAACTATTACTTACGAGCACCAGCTGATGTGCAACGCCTCCCAGGCAGCGTTTCAGACAGCATTGAAGAATGGGTCTCGGGGAAAACGATTCCAATCATTGATTCAGCGGTTTCGTCGATGGCACTAGTCGTCTTTTCGCGGACACAGCAACATTCAGTGGCCGCAGCGGAAGCCTACGTGCAGTATGGTGAGTTACTGCGGCACGCGCACCAGACGTTGTCCAGTCTGGTCGAAACAAACATTGATGCCGCTTTGCTGGTCGTCTTCCTAATGAGTCGCTACGAAGACTCGTTGCACGGGAGGGCTGATAATGTGCCCAACAGTTACCTGCATCATGATGGTGCAGCCGCGATTTTGAAAATATGGAGAAACCAGCACCCACTGGAGAAGCTGTCGGCAACTTCTGCGGTCAAGTATTCGCGGCGGGGTATCATTAGATCAGCTCTTTTGCGGTATCTTTCAGTGCCAGCATGGCTCGAAGACGGTCAGCCTTTTGGCGAGTGTGGCAGAGACCTCGATTATGACCGCATAATGGTCCAAGTTGCGAGACTTCGAAATCAGCTCACGATCTTGCAACGGAATAATTTCCAGCTGAACAGCAGCAGTCCGAAACTGTTCCAAGAGCTTCAGAAACTGCGCAGCGAAGCAGCGAACTTAGACCATGCACTGCGCCACTGGGCGACTCGAATTCCAAGTTCCTGGTACCCACGTCGGCATCTCATGCCCGCGGCGTCGTATTTGCCTACTCGAGACTTCTTCTCCTCGGAGGTTTACAGCTACTCCAGTATTGCCTACGCTACCCTGTGGCTGAACTACTCGGCTACAAGGCTATTGGTCAATCAAGCATGGCTGAAGATCCTCGAGCTCATTCAACCATATTCAGATTCATCTGTCTACGCCCACGAGGTGAAAGAGTGCCACTCGCGCCTCATAGCCACGTCAGTGGACATGTCCTCGAGTATTCCATTTGTCCTTGAGAGGTTCAAGGTCACAGACAGGGGTCAGCAGCAAACCGAGATCACACTCAACACAGATGCTGAGATCACCCCGTACGTGGCAAGTTTAACTGCGTGGCCACTTGGGATTGGCTCGTGCATTGGCAGTTTGCCTGTGGAGCACAGACAGTGGTTCAGGAACCAGTTGTCATTCATGGGGAGGATTCTCGGATGTGGAATCCTGGAGTGTGTTAGTGCTGCCGACCTGCTTGACCTCTGAGTCCATCATGTCCCTGTTCTTGCTGCATCCAGCTGCTGTCGTGGTTATTATGGTTCTTGCTGAAACTTCTGCGCGAGGCTGTCTTGGGCGGCGAGGTGCTATCTAAAATTCGAGAGGGCGTCTAAAATGATAGACAAAATCACATAGGTCCCCTCGAGGACGATAAGAGTAGTTAGTTCCTTCGAGCCCTTGTCTTGTGCTCAGTGTATAGTGTATGCCCGATCGAGCATATACATACGAGGTACTTTCCGCTCGGCTAAGGAACCCAATTACCTCATATATGTCTAGACAATGACAGGGACGGAGAGAGCTAATGTCTTTATTTCTGCCGGGCCGGCGACAGTCGGTGTCTATCTAGGTGAGGAATTAAGGTATATGGAAAATGGGATTACTTTTCTCTCAGTACGTCAATATCCAGATGAGATGAGAAGAGCAACGAACTAATCTAAATGACTTGCATTTGCTGGTAATGGACAACCCGACTGAACCCCTTTGAGCCCGCCCAGTACAACCTCCGTCCAACTCTGCATCTTAAGTTATTAGTTTCAGACACCTGTATCAGCAAGTACGGCGGGACTCTCGGGCAGCATCAAGGTCCCGGCAAGGACATTCTCTTTGGTTGGTGCACCTTCCTTGTCCGCAATGACAGCAATGATAATCCCCAGCGGCTCGATCTCTGGTGGTATCACCGCGCTGTACGATGTTGTATTAAACGAGACCGAGATATTGTAGAGACCATGAAAAAAGACAGCGTAGTAGTCCTTGTCAGGAGCAAAGTGAGGTTGGTTGTTGGGCTGGGTGAAGTTGAACACCAAAGTTGAGCCAGGCGTGATACCCGTTGTACCAGCGCCGGGGGATATTTGTGGGAGGTTCTGGCGCGGCGTGGGATATATAGGGTTCTCGCCTGGGCAGGAGCCGTTGACGACCCATTCGTTGGTGAAATCCAGAATCTGGTTTGCATATGGATACACAGTATCCGTTGGCCCAGCAAATGGGGTGGACTTCCAGTTGTCAATGAGTGACCATGTATTGTGGCGCGACTCGGTCGCGGCTATGGCCACAAGGGCGGCCTTGGACAAAGTGAGTTTGGCTTGTAACTCCAGCCCGGTGAGGAAGGCCATGCTGGAGATCTCAATGACTGTCTGAAGCGCAACGTAACTAATCGGGTCTTCATAGGGATACTGGTATTGACACGGGCCGGGCTTGACCGAGTTGGTGGATATTTGGTTCTGAAAGATACGTAGATGACCGGCTTCATTGTCACGGATCTGCTGAATACGCTCATAGGTGGTGTTGGGAAAGCCAGCCTCAACGAAGGCCGTCGTGTTGAACCGCTCAACTCCTTGTTGATAGAAGGAGAAGATGACCCACTCGGCAGACAGCAGGTTCTGAAAGAGGAGGTCGTCTTCGCCAGGAGGTCCGAAAGTCGTGTTGACTATGGCACCTGTGATATTGCCAGGGAACGGAGCTGCTGTGCCGTTATACGTGCTGTACGTTCCAGACTGACCTGGAATCGGACCGTAGGACGGGTCGGACAGTTGGGAGAAGAGTGGCTGTGTCATGGGTGCACAGCATGCCAGACCAAACGCCAGGGCAGCGGCAAGAGGATTGAAGCGCAAGACTGCCATGAAGATTGAAAGGTAGTACTGTTTTTGTAGTCGGCCTTGTGGAGGGTTTGCTCGAGACTTGAAGTCGTGGTCTCTGAGGTTCTTATACCCTCAGAGAGGAGGCATGTACGTGCGGTGTCCATCATGGAACAACTGACGCTGAATGCCTTGCGAAGCTGAGCCAATCGAGAAAACTACCGAGAGGGGAATGGCCTCAGGCGGTGAGGCTAATCTGTGCTCATTGTGGACGAGGTGTTGTGGTGCTGTGAGTGTAGAAAAACAAGGCATGGAGATACGTGCCGTCCATGACGATGATGGGTGAAGCAGTGACTAGATTGAACTGAATGGAGGCGGAGGGTTGCCGTGGACGTCAGCGAGATGGAGCGCAGAGTAGGGCAGCGCAGGGAGGAAAAGAGAGACAGAGGAGAGTGAAGATGGAGAGGTACGAGGTAAAGGGAGACAAATGTCCCCACCTTCCCAAAACAGTCATATTTTCGATTGGTCTGTTTCGCAGGCTGCGCAAGCACCAAGTCACCGACACCCGCAGCTTCAACGCCTCAAAAGCCTCGACATCTTTTGATGGCTCAGCCTCTGCAAATCTCCCCTATCTCATTCACACTGTCACTATTCTCCGTGTATCTGCCGCCGTCGAAGCACTTCTCTCCGGCCAGCCCGCCCTCAGTTCACACTACTGTCTCACTCTCAGCTGTGCAGGTCACCCATGCAATCGTCAGGCCTCCAACACTTCAGCAGTGCCTTGCGGATATCAACGCTCGTAAACAAGGCCAGGTCAACGTTGACAGAAGTACCTGTGGTTTCCTTGCTGGACTTCTCTATAAGTTTCGAGGCTTGATTGCTTGAAGGTCACACATCACACTGTTCCTCTCGGAATCATCCGTATGGATCAGTGACAATGGTTGGTCGTGGCGGGTGGGTCGACATACCCTTTCAGACTGTTGAATGCTTCAGGGTCTTACTAACAATGGGATATAGGCGGTCAAAAGCATGCTTCACCTGCCGCAGAAGACGTCTCAAGTGTGGTAGGCTATCCGTCAACGTCGTCCATTGATTGTCACCGCCTCATGCTGATCCAACTCCAGACGAGACCAAGCCGAAATGTGTACGATGCCAAAGAAGCGAGGTCGAGTGCACAGGCTACCCAAGCGGACTAGAGTTCATCGACGACAATCCAGCATATCGTCCGCGGAAAAGAATTCAACCTCGAAAAGTTGTATTTCCACACGCGTCAGAACCGATGCCTAGCTTGAGTATTCTAGGCGATGACTTATACTTCGCTTATATGAACCAAGAGCTGCAGGATGGGAACTCCTTTATAGATGACCGTTGGCCAGGCTTCCACACTCTCAGGATGCCTGACTGTCTTCCTCGACGTTGCATGAAGTCATTCGCTGCGTCTTTTTTCGGCCGGCGAGTCAACGTCCAACGGGCACAACGGGAAGGAATGAATCTCTATGTTCGGTCTCTTCGGGAGCTCAACGAGCGCCTATCTCATCCTGACAAATCTTCGGCCGGTCACACTGTCCTCTCAATAGCAATCCTCACGTTTTGCGAAGTATGTGTCATAGTCGCACTTTAACTGGCAGCAGGAGCTGACTGGATATCAAAGTATCTCACCGCAACCACCGGTACTGCATGGGTCCAGCATATGCTGGGAATGACGGAATTCTTCCGACTCCAGGGCTTTGAAATCTTCAAACAGCCATACACCATGTGGGCGTTCCAGACCGATCGATTTTCCATGATTCTTGCTGCCATCGCGGCCCGTTGTCCGACTTGTCTCGCCACAGAAGAGTGGAAGACTATTCCCTGGACTTTCTCCCAAACACCAAAGAATCCGGTAGGGTATCTGATTGACCTCGCTTCCGAGCTTCCTGCCATGTATACGAAGTTCATTTGTTACCTGAAAACAACAGAGGCGAGCGCAAAGGCTGGACTAAACCTCGGTCTCGAGAGGGATTTTGCCGACCTTCTCCAACGTATACGAGACTGGTACATCAAGTGGGAGTGTGAGGTCAAGCCTCAAGTTGAAGAGGTCGCTCTGTCGCAAAACGAACAGCAGAAGTTTGGCCTTGCATCCAAATTAGTCTTTGACAACACGACCGACATCGCCTACACATTTGCCATGTACCAGACCACGGTGATCATACTTTTGGAGCTTTGGAAGACGCTTCGAAAGGTGCAAATAACACTTCCAACAAAGCATAGTGCTGTTCGTGACGGGGACCTTAGTCGGCTACCAGACCTTCCGGCTGACGAATTCACAAGCCGCCAGGATGACGAACTCTCCGGAACGTCCAACTCAGCTCTAGTATGTCAAGCCCGAAAAGCAGCTCTCGATATCTGTCGGATACTACCAGTCTATTTGATGCCATCGGGCTCCTGGGTCCATGGGATCCAAATGGTCATTCCTATCCGCATGGCACTCATTGTGCTCCGCCAGAATGGTGGCTGCCCACAAGCAGCGTGGCTGGAAGACTGTATGCAGCAAATCGGCGGGGCGCAGCGAGGGTGGGAGATTGGGAAGTACGCCATGCAGGTGTATGGATACTCATGAAGCATGGGGCGGCGGATGTTGGGCTCCGGTTGAGAAAGCTGGATTATGATCCTGCGATCGGTTAATGCCCTGACGCTGTGCATTGAGATTTATGCGAGAGGGAGACCAGAATATATATTGAGGATGACGGTGGTGAAGCAGTGACACCAAGACCTGAGATGGGATATCCTTGCCTGGGTTGGACACTGGCTTGATTACACGTTTTACACGCGTGCATATCTATTCTTCTGACCAAGTAATCCCTTGACTCCAACTGAAAGCCTTCTCAAAGGACCGAGAGAAAAGCCAAATCGAGGTCCATAACTCAATCCAGTAAATACGGATCGATCACCGAGCCCTTCAACTTCAAGGTGAAGGTGAGGGACACGGACAAGCATGGCTGATGCCGGCTGTTTTTCCTGTGCCAGAAAACACCGAGACCTCTGCGGACGAGAGAGAGAGAGAGTCTGGAAACCTAGGACGCGACAGCAACGTACACCACAGAACATTGTACATTCCCTCCTTTGACGGAATCACATCAAAATCAGTCATCAAAGTTCTGAAAGTCTTTCCACGCTTCCTCGACGAGTCGCGGGTCCGTGAGCACGCGCAGCGCCAGCATAGCCATGCCCTTTGCGCAGGTTATGGCGGCGCGGTGGGCGTCATCTGTCGCGGCGTGCCCGGCAAAGCGCGGGTGGTGCATCGAGACGTTGGGCTCGGTGGGGATGGGGAATGTGCCGTGGAAACTGGGGACTTCGAACGAGACGTTCCCTGTTGGTGGTCGAGCGATCGATCAGTTGGTTGATTGATTGATTCGGATACCCAAGGGGGATTTTTGGGAGGGGGAACGACAAAGGAGGAGAGGAGATAGTGGGAGGCAAGGCAGGGGGGGGAGTTTCGTGAACTTATTGCTTACCCATGTCCGTCGATGCCGTGTACGACTCGTCGTTCTTGACCATGATCTTCTCGCCTATCGTCGCCATGTCCTCGACATATTGCTTGCATAGGGGCAGGTTGACCCGCAGGTTCTTGTACGTGGGGGCGCTGCGGAAGAGGGGGATTCGTGTCAGATCACGAGTGTGGAAATATGTAGACAAAGAACACGAGGGAGAGTAGAGGAGAGTAGAGTAGCGACGTCAGTCTCCCGCTCGTCAAGGGATTTTTTGGCGGGTAGAACGAGGGAGAAATGAGGGACAAGGATGTTGGGACTTACGGAATAAAATTGATGTCGCAGCCCGTGGCGGCGGCGGCGGCTTCGCAGCACTTGTGCACCTTTGCCAGCAGCTTGTCGGCCCTCTCCACGTTCGGGGCCCTCACGTACCAGTTCATGCGGGCGTAGGCAGTGATGACGTTGGGGACGGAGCCGCCGTCCTCGATGACGCCGTGGACGCGCTCGTCGGGCCGCATCTGCTGGCGCAGCATCGACACGCTGTTGTAGGTCGTGATGGCGGCGTCGAGGGCGTTGACGCCGTTCCACGGCTCGCCCGCCGCGTGCGCCTGCTGGCCGCGGTACTCGACGCGGAACTTGTGCGAGGCGATGAACTTCAGCCCCGCCAGCCCCGTGTACCCGCCCGAGAACTGGTGGGCCGTCACCGGGTGTGCCATGATGGCCGCGCCCATGTCCTTGTCCCGAAACGCCCCGGCGTCGATCAGCTTGCACTTGCCCCCGCCGCCTTCCTCGGCCGGCGTGCCCAGCAGGCGGACCCGGCCCGGGATGCCGCTCGACTTGAGAGCCGTGGCGGCGCCCAGGAACGCGGCGATCGACGACGTGGCGATCAAATTGTGGCCGCACGCGTGGCCGATGCCCGGCAGCGCATCGTACTCGGCGCAGATGATCACCAGAGGACCGCCCTGGCCGACCTCACTGGTGAAGGATGTCTCGAGGCCGTACGTCTGCTCGGTCACGGCAAACCCCTCCTTTTTCAGGAAGGCCGAGATGGTCTTGACGGCGAAGAATTCCTTGTACGCCAATTCCGGGTTGTCGTGGATGGACCGATTGAGTTCTCTCAGCTGTGCATCGACTGCGTCGATGGCATCGAGCGAGGCCTTCAACGCCTTTGTCACGGTGGCGTCTGGTGCGGCATTGAAGGAGTTGGGTCCAGCCATGGCTAATCCTGGCAGCGTTTGGATGATGGCTGGGGGGATGTGGAGCTAGAGGTGTATTTATCCTTTGTAGTTGTCGAGGGCGGTTGACTCTGGATATATGGACATGTGGGTAAGATTGAAGGTGGAGCAGAAAACTGCGCAGGGACTGGCAGTGACTGGCAACGACTGGTCCTTTACCATTTTCGGACTCATAGAAAACATCAGACGAATGCGAAAATCCAAGAGAGTTACGGATCAAGCAGGGAACTCAAGACAAGAATTCCGTTTAGCTGCAAATGTTCAGGAAACGTGACGAATCTTCTCATGGCATGATTTGGGGTGGAATGATTTCCCTCCCAATATCTAGAACCCGTCGTGACATCCCGATGCAGTTCTCAGCCCACGAGCTGGACTTGCCCTCCTCTGAACTCTCTCTTCATTTACCCAGAAATGTACTCGATCTTGTCCAAAGCCCATAGGAGCACAGGAAGCCGGTCATTCTTAGCGCTTGATACGTTCCTAATGATTGCTCTGCTACCAGTCGGCGATGTATACTCACTGACAGAATGTAGTCTGGGCTATACGTCTCACAAGGCTGATTCGATTCCGCATCTCCTTCGGTGTCAATCTTCCGGTGGAATTCGCGAATCTCTGAACGGCGGATCGTCCCCAAATAACCCGGGTGACCCTTCCCCAAATGTTTGTTAAGCATGTAAGGCATGTCCTGCGCTGAAAGAAATGGCCAACCCCACTAACTGAGGACCCAGATCGCACCATAGACACCCTGGATACTCTACCAGTCAAGGCCAATGTTCCGATAGCCTCGGATGAGCTCGTGAAACTTTGGGTGCGGGGAAGGGAGGTTGTGAAATATGGGGAGATATAAAAGTCGAGTGCGGACCACTTTAGACATTGAAGGTAGAGATCCAGATCGCAACGGCTAAACGTCTCACTCGAAAGGCATCGATCCAAAAGAAACGTCCCTCTTGCGCGACACAAGAGAGGCAGACGAGAAATGCCCTTACAATATCTTCTATGGGTCAACTCCCAACCATTCCCAAATTCTGGGGTTGATGACGACCTTTGGGTAAAATGGTATATCGATGAACATGTTCGTATCTAGACCGCCCTTCTCGTGTAGACCAGGCTGATCGGTGGCAGCTGCCGGACTTGATCAACAGCAAGACTGCCGTGCGCGCAGCCATGTATCGCGAGGCCGACTTTCCACTTGGGTCGAAAGAGAAATCGCCACGCAAGTTCTTGGTGTTATACCAGACCGAACTCGAAGACCCGTTGAGTTCCCAAGAGTTCTTGAACGGTGTACGCCATACCAGTGACATGTGGCCCGACAAAAAGCCATCGTCCGAAGTAGGGAACTTCAATATCAGGAATTATAAGTTAATTCAGGACTATGATCCTGACAGACGGGGGGAAGGTGAGTGTCTGGCGTTTACAGAAGAGGCTGACTGTTGCTGATGCCGCTGGATTAAGTCGCCGCGCCATTTTGCGCGACGGTCGAGATGCACCCAGTGGATGAGCCCGACTTCGACAAATGGTACCGAGAAGAGCATCTCGACATGCTGCACAAGTTGCCAGGATATCGACGATCGTCCAGGTATGTCATTGGCCCAAAGACGGCTCTGACAAAAGATGAGCCTCCAAAATATCTGGCAATCCATGAAATGGATTCTTTACAAGGCTTTGTCGGGAAAGAGGCCGATGCTGCCAACACCACCCCGTGGACGGTAAAGCATATCAAAGACAGCAAGGTATTCATTCCGAGAGGCTGGGAGTTGATAACTTCGCGGGGGTATTGAACATGCAAGGCTCAGACGATGCTCATGACGCGGTGGCCATGATGGATTCCATCCAGGGCCAAATGCTCTCATTTGCCGGTGGATAGCCCATGTGCAGCATTTTGTCATAAAACCGGGCTTCTTTTGGGCGGCCATAGTTCATGAGAAGGATGTTGTCCTCGATGGGAACAAGCCCATCGTGGGTGCCGTTGATTAGGAGCAGTCTGCAGCAGGGTCCATTCACAATACCATTTTCGACAAGGCTAAAGTCCTTTTGAGCCCTGTCCTTCATCTCTTCCCAGTCCCGGTAGCCGTACTTGGCAACATATGCTTCGCTAAGGACAAACGGGTATTCGTGGTCGTCGACGTGTTCAAGCCATTCTCGACTCAGGAACAGATGACTCCCGGCGCCCTGGGCAATAACCCCAGCAAGCCTCGAGTGGTGAGTGTGTGCTAGCCGAATGGCACAGTAACCCCCAGCAGAAAGACCCCAGGCCATGCATTTCCGCATGTTGAACGACGGCTGCTTGTCCATCCAGTCAAGAATCGAGGTGAACAATCGTTCGTGGGACGTTGGGTCACGACGGGCTGCCGGGCAATCGGCTGTTCCTGGGATTTCGGTGATCACACAGCCCCAACCACGGTCCAGAAACTCGTCAGTTCGCTGTGGCCATGCTGTTAGTCGGAGTGCGTGTGAGTACACCAGAGCGCCTGATGTGCTTACCTCTGTGTTGTCGGGTCGATGCCCGTCCAATCCTGTGATCAGCAGCACTACGGGGCATTTCTTCTCACTATTTGCTCCTGGCGGAAGCCTGACGAACAGCGGTATCTCCTTGCCGTCCTCACCATCTGCCGCAGTATGGGGAATCTTGACCTCTTTCATAGGAGCCTCCCACAAGCTTGCACCTCTCAAGTAAACCTGCTTTTGTAGCTCAAATGCCTTTCTCTTCAATCCTGAGCCAGCCTCGAGAGAAGGGAACCGAGATATTCGATACACACACGCGGCACGCTTGAACAGGGCGGCGGCTTTGGCTCTGTCCGAGGCTTGGGCTGACATGGCTGCGTCGGTGAGTTTTTCGGCCGTCGGCATGAAGTACTCGGTGTATTTGTCTGTGTACGCATCGTTCACGTCATCCCTGATCAGGCTTTCGAAGATGGGTTGGAAGTCTTCGAGCTTGCCATCGTGGAAAGGATACACCCCGAGCGAGCAGGGGAACTTCCACTTGGTTTCCCACAGAGCTTTGACTCCATCCAGATGAGGGTACCGCTGGTAGAACTTCTCGCCGAGGATCCAGTTCACCATGCTGCAGTTCTTTCAGAGCTTGGTGTTGGAGGTCAAAGACCAAACAAAAGAAGATTGAGTGGTGAAGAGACGGTGAGGAATGTGTTTCTATTGTTGGAGGTTCTTTCCAAGTGGCATCGGTCAATTGATGGCCGAACCCCCGCGACAGGCTGCGAATATCAATTGTTGACTGCGCCTGCCCCTCGCCCCAAGCTCTAATAGCTTTGCGTACAAGTCCACCAAGAACCATAATAATCAAGAGTGTCAGACTGTAATATTTATTTGTTTCATATTCTAGACAGCCAGCTATCCTTGATGCAAACTCTGATCGCGGACAGTAGACGGTGGACAGAGCATGGCTCTATTCTCCCTTGACACGATCTCGACGACTCCTCCCAGCAGCGGGCGGATCGACCGCTTGCCGCGTGATCCACGCTTCGGTCCCCAATGTCACCCAGCAGTACCAGTCCGAGACAAGGCAGAGTCTGTCGACCAGAACGGCAGCCCACAGATGGCGTCTGACAAAGGGATATTCGGTCGCAAACTCTAGCAAACCGTCCAAGTAGTTGTATGTCTTGATGGAGAGAACGAAGGAGCCAAACCACGGACAGGCGTGGAATGTTCTCCAGAAACAGTAGAGCCGCACCCACAGCAGCACCGGGTTGAGCATGCCCTCGACCATCTTCCGCGTCATGTGCGGACATGTCTTGTACATGCCCCAGAAGCCAGGTTCGTAGACGAGACACATCAGTCGGTGTCGCAGGCCACTCCGGTACCACCGCTTCATCTGACCCGCGAACCGTGAGTCTGGCATGATGGAGGTCCCGGCTTCGGCGCCTTCTGTAAGCTGCATGCCCAGCTTCCTCTGGACTGGCTTCTCCTCCCCGTCGCGGCGCTGCGGCTTGAACAAGTGTTGGAAAAGGACCCAGCGCGTGATGAAGCTGTCGTCACCAGAGTTCTGGCGTTGGCCCATCAACATGTCGTTTGCAAAGGCAGATTGGAACGCCGGATCGCGGGCGATCTCGGATCGGAGCAGCGCTGTGACGCCGGAGACGCAAAAGTTGATGCCACCATCGGCAGCATATGCGCTTTTCATGCTCCCGTGGCGCTTCCCACGAAGACGAATGGCTGCCACCTCCCATGGCTTGATGGTGCCAGGGTATTGTCTCTTGAGTGGTAGGTACGAGCTGCGAATTATTCGAAATTAACTTGCTGCAACCGAAAGCCAGCGTGGGACTGTATAGGCAGAGAAGTGGATCTTTGGAAAGCAACTCACGTTGTTGGGCCCCCGACAAGTCCAATATCTTGCTGCTGAAAAGGCGCCAGTAGGTGCAAAAGAACAGTCTCGCGTTCCCAAAATGCGTCATCATCGACCAATGCCATGATACTTCCTTTACTCTCGTTGATGCCTCGGAGCAGCTGATCTCGTTTGTTCGCTTTGGAGACCGTAAGGATGCGGAGCTCAGTCTGTCCCATGTTGGCGTCTACAGGCGCGGCGCGAATCAGTGCGCGGACCCTGTCTGCCTCCTCTTCTGTAGTAATGATGATTATCTCGAGTGGTTTATTCCTGAGGAGGCCGCTGAGGCCATCAGAGAATGCCGGATCAGTGTCGACGGTGGGCACGATGATGCTAACGTCGGAAGGACTATAAGCACGCTCCTCGGAACGGGGCAAGGGGAATTCGCGGTATCGTTTTCGATTTCTCTCCGAAATTCGGTGCTCGAGAAAGTCCCACAGACTAAATGAAGGATGTTAGAATGATCGGGAAGACGGTGTCAGGCAATGTACACAAAAGCTCCCAGGACAATAGGGCAAGAGAACCACGCCAGGCCGCACGGTAGAGCCATGTAGATTGAGCAAGATCGTGTGTTGCTGAAGTGGTGTCAGAGGTGTTGTAAGAGATGTGGAAAAGCAGCTGTTGGATGATCGATCTGGCTACTGCTCTCCAGGTGTTTCGGTCCTCTTCTTTGTATATAGGCATTTTATCTGGCCTCAAGCATGGTGTCATCTGGTTGGTCCAGACAAGGCTGTGAATGGCGGGTCACAGGATGGTGTCGTGTAGTAACGGCGAGGTATCACAAAGGATCCATCCGGGTACTGGTGACAGACGATGTCAAGAAACCGCCCACCCCCCAGTAACCGCGTAGGGTATACGGTGAATCGGTAATAACCACGAGATGTAATGCTGGTTAGGGTGAAAAGAATTTCGAGGTATAATACTAAGTGATATATCCATCATTGAGTGTTTGGCAAGACAAAAGTCCCTCCTGGTCGCCCTTGGTCAAATACTAGGCTGTAGCATCCGTGGTTCTTCGAAACAAATGTGGGCGGTGAGGGAGTTCGTCCTTGGAGTCGACTGTTGCTGCCTGAAGGTTCACCTCTGTAGACCTACTTTCGATGCCAGCCTTCATAATGCAGGATTCACGTCGTCCTTTTCATCAAGCCTGCGGCTCCCTTCGGGTGGAAAGCGCGCAAACAGCAAAACCCCAAACCCTATCAACGCGACAGCCTGCGAAGTAGAGTCAGCACCATCACTTATATTATCATGTCAATCACAACCACGTACCGCGTTGCACGTGAAAACAAGCTCTGTCCTTCCAATACTGGCAAACGCTGCAAAAATAACACCAAAGACAAACGTTGTCGACAGTCGAGCCATGTTTTCGACCAGAGATACCCCGGCAAGAGCATCTGTCCGTTCACTGCTGGTAGCAGAGCTTCCCACCATTTGAAGGACTGTCCCTTTTGCGGCCGAGCCAGTTCCGGCAGCAAAAGGCAGAACAACTGCAACAAGATACATTTGCCAACCTTCGCGAACGAAGGAGCAAAGCAGTGTCAGAAGTCCATCAGCAACCAGCGAAAATCTCGTGTACGTCAAATCAAACGCAAATGTTTGCTCCTTTGGGGTTTCTTTGTCTTTTGGGTTGTGCGTGCCGTTTCCCGCTTGCTGTCGGGAGTCTCTCAAGAGAGGAGCGCGCTCCGACGACCTGGACTCTTGGGTATCTGCCAGATCCTGCTGCTCTCTCTTCATTGTCCATCTCCTGCCGATGGCAATAAATTTCGGAAATGCAAATGTCAAGAATACGCCCCTCAACATGGAGTACATGAAAATGAGGCCACCGTTCTGCTGGGTGCCAAAATCAAAGACATCGGTTGAATACAGCTGTAGCAAAGTGGGCAGATATCCTGGTGTCCAATTAGCGATGGTTTCACCTCTGACACCCAAAAAATCTTACCTGTGGCTAGAATTCCGAGAAAGACTCCCCATGCAAGCAGGAATGCACCGTACTCGGTCCTGACAATGCCATCCCTTGTAATGAACTTCCGGGGCGCAAACACCATCAAAGGGCCAAAGAACTTGGTGAAGGCCGAGGTCATCTTTGTTTTTCTGGCCGTGGTCCGGTCCGCGTCGATGTCTCTTGGCTGGGGCGGGATGTGTGGCAAGAAGGCAAAGACATAGGCACTGGAGGTCAAAAAGAGCATTAAGGTCAAACGGAAGGGGGCTTTGATATCAAACGCCTCAGCCACCACGCCACCCAACAAGAATCCCAACGCAGAGCCGAACATCATGCTCCCGGTCAGTCTCCCCAACGCGGCTGTCCGGCCTTCGTGTTCCACGACGTCGGTGATAAAGGTGTTCAGCGCTAGCATATACCCACTCGGCCCACCCACAATGGTAACGATCTGCGAACATTGGATGATGATTATGCCAGTGGTGCCCCAGACCTCGACGCCCACAATTTGTATCAATAGTCTGAGGGCAGGGAAGAATACCTGGGTCAGCAATGTTGGCTTGACACCAATGCGTTTGATCAAGGTGCCCGTCAGAAAGAGGTTCAATGTGCCAAAAACGGTGGTGCTGGCTCCCAGTAAGGACACCGATAGCGCTGTTGCGCTTTCAATTGGGTGGATAGAACACCGGTCAGTGCCGTCTCCGGTGTTTAGACGGTTGGAATAGCCTGATGGAACCATTGCGGCAGAGAGGATCGATGTCCAGGTCCCTGCCGTGGGCGATCGCTCAACTCCATGCAACAGTCCCGAGGGATGGTCTTTGTAGTACGCATCACAAGTCATGAGCCTGAAGACATATAACAGCGGCACCTGTGTTACTCCGAAGCTCAGGCTGGTCAAGAAGGCACAAAGCAAGACCAGATACCTCACCGATCTGGACCATGTTGTTGGGGCCACATCCGGGGTCTCGTCTTCGGTCGATACTTCCTGGACGGCCACACTCTCAACAACGCTGAACTCCTGCGATCCTGTACGATCAAGCAAGTTGGGTGCCGTCGCCTCAAGATCTTCACGGTGTACGGACGAGGCTCGTCGACTGCTTGAGTGGCGTGAATGACCCATCCTTGGCAGATTTGCGGAAGAAAGTGGACGACGAATGCGGAGTTTGGCGACAGTCAGTGGTAGGGCCAGTCCCGCTGGTCATGCTTTGGAGGACGTATGTCAATATGATGGGGGTCTGGGCGACTTGACGTGGTCCATTGAAATGACAACGGCAGTAGAATGGAGGATGAGCAAGAAGAAAAGAACGCCAAAGGGTTCCATGTAATGTAAGGGCGCAGTACGAGATAGAGGTGGCGGTCAACCCTCAAATCTCGAGATGCCGCCATTGTCGGCGCAAATGCCGCGTTCTAATCATCACGTGAATGGCTAGTCCCCTTTGGGAAGGTCCCAATCAACGCCATCGTCGATCACCGACAGATCGATGTCTCCAAGTGCACCAAAGGTATCGAGTTTGGGCTTGTGCTCCTGAAATAAATCCGGAGCAGAGGAAGGCTTCATTAACAGCTGCAGATGTGCGAGAGGTTGCGGACATGATGAAAAACACTCGTTGTCAGGATTGTGAGGGTTGTGGAGAAAGTGATTCTACCGCCAGAAAAATGGAGAGCATAATCGAGCAAAACCATTTGTGTGCATCTGGTGAGAAGGACGCGATGAAGGAGAGGCTTTTGAAAAACGGTAGGAAACACACGAGAGATCTTCTAGTCCTGCCTCTTGTATCGATTTGTCGAGGCACAAAACACGTTCCTTACCAGCTGGACTCACTCCTGTCTTTTCAGTCTGTGTGCTCCATGGCCATTCCACCAGCCCACGCAGTGTCAGCGTCTCAAGCCGTCCATATTGGATATCCGCGCATCTAATGAGGACAGTCGTGCGGAGGTGGGTGGTTTGTGAATGACAAGCTCATACCTTTCCTCTTGGCCGCAGCGCCAAATACGAGGGTTGAATTCAACCATACTGATAGCCGCCTCTGATATGCTTGTCTTCGACTTCCCGCGAGAGTACGAGGTAGAGTTCATCATAATCAGCGATAGACTACAAACCCTTGAGTGATGGTAGTAACGTTGAAGCAGGGCCTCACCAGCAACAGCTCTTGTATTCAAGTCCAGCATTGATCCTCGTTGTATACTTGCAGGCTCTCTCCCATCCTCCCCTCTTCCTTTCCATCAACACTGCGTTCTCCATCTCTGGCTCTGGGGGAAATGGGAAGGCGTTGAGTGGGCGGACTTTGGGCAGCCTCAAAATCACGTCATCAGCTAGCCCTGCGCCACACGTTAACACCCGTGCCAGTGGTTCGAGAGTGTCAATTGGTTTGGCTATGGCGGACGACAGGGTTCATACTCTGTCCCTGTTGTGGTAGGATGCAATTTTGGTAGCCACCGGTCTGTCAGAGATAAGGGCGCTTAGAGACAGGACTTTTGGGATGAATAAGGAAAGCGGTTTTGCCAAGTTGCACCTTTCACATCGGAGCAACAATCCGGAGATATGGTAGCATTCAAGTCTATGACAGGCAGCAACTGCTATGTCTGACTCTCATTGTACTGCTTTGCACTTGATTGCAGAGTACCAAGTACACAGAGGTATACCGAGTACGAGGTGCTCGTACCCAGGGTACATACACAGTAGGTATGTCGACAGGCAAACAGGCTAGTGTTGAAACCTGGTGGAAAAGAGATGTGACTCGCATACTCGGTACTCGATACCTCGTCTGATCATGGCTAATATCCCCCTTTTTCCCATCGGGGCGGTGTACTCGGTACTCCCCCTGCTCGGCTGATTACTATCGAATGGAAGAGCACATTGTCAAACCCCGTTACCAGGTTATACTCCGGACTGTTGACTGGCGTGACGTTGAAACTCGCATCCTCACCGGCTCTCGTACTCGTACCCAGGCAGATCAGCAGCGGCCACATGGGGTCCAGGGGTAATGAAAATCACACTCGAGGCAAGTGATACCGAATCAGGCAAAATGCTTGGCGAGACGAGGCCCACCAATTACAGTTAGTGTGATTAGCCTTCCAGAGCACCCCTGTGATTGGTCTCCTTTATATATCTCAAACGAGTCTAACAACCTTAAATCCACTATCGATACCGAGGCCAAATTGAGCTTCATCTCGGGATTGTCGCACATAGGCTACAGCCTCCTCGTGGCGGAGAACGGTTTTCTTGGCAGTGCAACGCCTTTAAAGACCGGTGCCATGGTTTCAACGTCACTAATCCATTTCCCTTTCGGCCCTCTCGCCTTTGTTTTGCTTCGATACAAACCGCCTTTCTTTGCTTCTCCACTTCGCTTCCCGTTTCCCCACGGTTGCAGGGGGGAAATGTGCTCGATGATGCCCAATCCAAGCATGGGATTGAGGGGCCCCTTGACGAGAAATTGCTCCTGGTGCTCCCAAGGAAGAGGAAAGGAACAGGAGACCCAGGACCACCCTCGTGAAGGTCTCTCGGGGACAAGCTTCATGGCGGTTGGAGATGGATTTGGGCTATGCTCGTCTCCACCAGCGTCGACAACTGGCAAATCAGCTGTGATCTGCCTGCAGGTACGGAATTAAACCACCTCGTATTCAGGAAATCAAGTCGCTGCTCCATCATACAAGCCACCAATCATGTCTCATCGACCTCTGTTTACCTCTCTACTTGGTAAACAGCACACCACACGCTGATCTCTCTCTCATCAATCTGGCCCCCCCGGTCCACTTGCAACTGATCCACGAGCATCTCCGACTCCAAGGCTGATTTCTCCTATGACAGCAGGCGATTTGTTTCTGTGAGTCAAGGTTTTGCCCGGTCTCTTGCCCTAACGAAGGATTGGTGCCATCGGGGCGGTGGAATAGCCGACTCCAACTTCACTGCGAAATTGCCATGAGAACTTTTGCTGGATGGCAAAGATGAATGGCGCTGTGCTCCACAGCCATCTGGTTGCTCGGGGGCCCCCTTTTGGGAAATGGCTTGCTCGCCGCATCGAAGTACTTTAACTCGTCTATCTCTTCGACGACCTCTTCAGTTTCTTGTCTTCTCTTCCTCAAGCCGTGTCAAGTTCACCCCAGTCACTCGTTTGCTGCTCTTGCTCTTGCTCTTTGCTCAACCTAGCAAAAAACCCAACTTCTGTCACTCGTTTCTACAGACGCTCATCAAGATGAAGACTGCTGTCGTTGCTACCCTCGTCGGCTCTGCCTTTGGCTCTGCCATCTCCTCCCCGTGGTTGGACTGGACCTCGTCGACCACCACCACCACGACCACCACCAAGGTCCCCGTTGATCCTGCGACCACCCACACCTGGGCTGACTGGACCACGACCACCACCACGACCAAGGTTCCTGTTGATCCCGAGAGCACCCACACGTGGGGCGACTGGACCACCACTACCACCACAACCACGACCACCACGCCCGCTGTGTGCACCTCGACCATCTCGACCTCCGTCTCGTGCGCAACCACCCACCACAAGGAGACCTGCACCACCAGCACCCTGACTGTCTGGGATACCCTTCTGTGCACCGGATGGGAAGACTGGTCGACAACCACCAGCAAGGTTGTTGATCCCACCAGCACCCACACCTGGGGCGACTGGACCACGACTTCCAGCGTTCCCGTCGAAGCTGTTACCACGACCTCCGTCCCCCACACGTGGGCTGACTGGTCCTCGACCAGCAGCGTCCCCGTTGCACCGGCCACCACCAGCAGCGTGCCTGTCGCTGCCGTCTCCACCAGCACCTGGGGCTATGCTCCTTACTCGTCGAGCAGCCTCCCCGTCGCTCCGGCCACGTACACCGGCGCCGCCTCGCTCCCCAAGATCGAGCTCGGTGTCCTCGCCATCATGGGTCTCGCCGCTGCGCTGTAAATTCCTCCTTACACGGGGGAAACAGGGGTTGGGCTATTTCTAATTTTCTCTATGGCTTCTTAACCTGGCAAAGTTCAACTGCAACTACTAAGCGCACGTGGTAACGACGGAGATGGTCCCATGAAAAAGAGGGAGAGAGAGGAAAACCCTCCCCCCCGGGCCCGATACGCGATATGGGAAGGGGGGGAAGCGGTTTTCCAAGTTTTTGCATAAACAGCTTTTTTTCTTCTTCGATAAAGTCGATAACATAATTTCTGTGTTCCACACAACACAAACAAATGGAAGCCTGGTTGATCAATCCTCGACGTTTGTCAGCTAGGAACTTTTTTTTCTCTTAAATGTCTATTTCTTGTAGAGCCTTAATCCGTGACTAGCATCTATGATCCTTGCGATCGCATGGTCCTCACGGCATAAAGTCATATTCGCACCTAGCCTCTGGCATACGGCATCGAGCGACTTCATACCTCGTACGTAATATGTATGTGTCTGTCTGTCTTGGGATCAACACCCCCAACCCACCCCAACCAATCCCTGAGTTTAATCACTATCCAACACTTGCTTCAGCTTTACTTCAACACCTTCCATAATAGTAGTACTGAGTAGCTACCTCCGCCCCTACCATCCCAACAGGGGATCCAACTCCGGGTACTTGTTCTTGCCGTCCTCGCCATACCCGCCTCCTTCGGGGTTATACCTGGGCGTTTTGCCGTCGATGACCCTGCCGGTGTTGTCGGCGTCGGAGATGCCGTACTCGTCCAGACGGCGCATGTAGGCGTTGAAGACGACGTCGTTCTCCGCGCGCCAGCGGCCGCACACGGTGTCGCCGGCGTTGAACTCTTCGGGCGTCTGCAGGACGACCTCGCGACGGTGCCTCTTCTCGTCCACCTTGGCGTCCCATCGCCACTCCCACGATGTCTCGCCCACTTGGTACTCGCGGCTGACCCGCACGGGCGGGTAGTCCTTGTAGTGTGCGTCGTCGTCGTCGACCCATTTCCCGCAGCAGCGTTCCACGTTGGGCGCCCGCGTCCAGCACTCCCACGGAGAGAACGCCCGGTCGCAGTGCAGCCGCCAGTTGGCCAGCGCGACGAGCGCCTCGCGCACGCATGTGCGTTCTGGTTGGTTTGAGGAGGCCTCGTCCTCGGCGTTCTTACATCCTCCTTCGCAGCCCGCGGCTGACGCTACGAGGGAGAGCCCTGCTAGTGTTGTTTTTGTTGTTGTTGGTGATGGTGATGGAGATGGTGCAGCTCTGGTGACAAGCGTTGCCATTGTTGTTCTGGCGTTTCCGTTTGGAGTTGCGTCGGCACTGGCGCACATGACGGCGATGGTCATCAGACCGCCAAAGAGGAGAGATTTGATGGCCATGGTGAGGATTGTGTTGAGATGTTGTCTTGATGTTTGACAAGTGTAAGTCTGAGTGTTTACCTCGATGATGAGGTGAAGGTATGCGCAAGAGTCTGTGGATGGCGAGATGAGGCGATGCTCTAGAGTCTGTCTGTGAGAGAAGTCAAAGTCACTTGCAGAAGCTACAGAGTTGTTTGACAACAGCACTGCTTGGGAAGCACCTTTATGTTATTGACCAGCAGTCCAAGGTCCTCGAGGAGGACCGCGACGGTGAGGACCTCGACAGTGAGGACCTCCCAGTGCCAGCCCAAGCTTTTACGAACCAAAACGTCCCGCTGTTTCTGTTGGTGAGCCACAGATTGCACGTATTAGCCTCGGAGACTCACACTTGGGGGAAATCCTGGAGTTTGGTACAGCACAGACATGAGGAAAAGAAGGTTTGGCAGCCAATGGAATGGCGAGCGGATACCAAAAGGGCCGTCCATGGACGATCATCTTTCCAGATCCAGTTTCCCGAGTGTCAGCATATCTGTCTCTTACCGGTGTCCCTCAATCATGGTGCCTTGGACCTGTATCATCGCGGCCGGAACATTAAAAAAGGAAATGGGTTGACTCGATTGCAGCTCTGCGAGAGGCTGAAGCGTTGAAACGTCCAGACTCGAGTCATCGGTAAAGGTCATTTCGTGTCATTACCAAACGAGAGACAAATGCTCATATCAGATCAAGTTGACCCCAGCCCAACCAGGTCCCAAATCTAACTCCCACCGTTTTGTTCCGTTGGTGCTATGCAATTCAGTCCAAAAATTCTCTGCCTCGCGCGATGCTTTCCTCCTGGCGGCACGACGTTTTTCACCATCTGTCATTATTCTGTACTTGATTCCCTCTCCTCAAAGTGTCCGTCATCCTCGTCCTCCACTTCTCCCTCCCCAAGTACCTCGGCCGGTTCAGGTGCGACGACTTCATTTTGAGGTACCCCCTGGGTCTCATGGCCAGTTTGCCCCAATATAGACTGAGGACCATCGCCATTACCGTCTCCGATCGGCTGCATAGGTATAGGGAGTGGATCGAGATGCGCAGTGTGCTGGTGAGGCTCCGCAACGTCAGCTCCAAGCTGCATCGCCAACATCTGGTGCGTCATGGCGCGGGCCGCATCGCTCGCCGTGCGTGCAATCCTGACCGCAACCTCGGCTTCGTCGTCCAACCGAATATCTGGCAGCGCCAGAGCCGCCAAAGATCCAGGAGGAAATTGATCTCTCAAGCGCTGGATCCGACGGATCAAATCACGGGCCAGAGCACCCATGTCTTCCAAATCTTGTATATCCTGTGGGTTGCTTCCAGCTCCTGTTTGGCCATCACCAGTTGACCGCCCCGACCCACCCGTATCTATTTGGAAGTGTCCTGTACCGGGATATTGGGCGTTTAGACTAGAGAAGAAGTCCACCAGCCCATCGATTGCCTCCTCTGTACTGGAGGAACTGGCGCCTGGCCCCAGACTCGTCCGTCGGGCTTCCAGAGGTTTGCGCATCTTGTCCTTGCGCTTCTTCGGCTTCTTGCCGTGCCATGATAGGGCAGCCAAAAATGCTGGTGACCTCCGCTTACATTTTCCTGATCGCATCCTCTCCCATCGGCAGTTCGGACAGAAAAACAGAGGAGATTCAGATGGTGCAGTAGTCGGTGGGAGGATTGGGGGTATGCTGTTGGCTTCTTCAATCTGAGAAGCTCGGCACCCCTTGCAAGGACACGGAGGTTCCAGGCTGCTTGCGCAATCGCCACAGACGTAAACCTTGCATTCCATGCAGGTCTTCATGACCGCTGTACAGCGTCGCCTGTGGTCGCCAGGGGCCGAACGTGACACTGGGCAGAAGAGTGTTTGACAGCCTCGCCAACCCGGACCTTCTTCAACGTCCGGTCGAGTTGGCCGTCGAGGCGCAGATCTCGGCTCCGGAGTCGCAGTCATTGAATACGCCGATGGCGAGGGAGAGGTAGATCGAGATGGAGGCCCGCTGCTGTTCGAAGCGGGCGATAGTGGACGTTGGAGCCGTTCAATCTCTGCCAGATGTGTTCGTATTGTTCTCGAACCACCTCCCATCTCCGCATTGAGTGCAGCCTCAGCCGCTGCGACCGCTAACGATGCCGAGGGGGAGAGAGGAGAGCCCGATTTGACCCCAGCTTTCCCAGCTTTGGGGGTCCTGACAGCCATACCAACCTCGGCCAATTCTGCTTGCTCTGCTGCCGCCTCCTTTTCTTTCCGTTGTCGCATCAATGTGGCGAGCAACTTCAAAGCCTTCACTCTCGACTTGAAATCTTGTCTCTCGACGGGGAGTTCTCTGTAGCCGCAGATCCGGGCTTTGGCACGCTCACCAATATCATGTTTGATACAAATCGGTGTTGAACAGGCCTTGCATTTGACTTTCCAACTGTCCGAGCCATAGCAGTCATCACACAAAACCCGAGGAACTGACAAGGTGGGGTGGTCTCCACCGGTCAGATATGCAGCAGTCTCAAACAAAGCACTAATATTCGCCCAGCGGCCGGCAGGTCCTTCTTTAGGTGCACTGTCATCTGCAGGATAGCTGACGACACCGGGGGCATCACGAACGAACTCCGGATCCTCCCAGTTCTGCCCAATTGGAAGCGGCGCCGCACGAATGCGGTCCGAGTCCCGATTCGCACTGTTGCTGAAGGTGATGCCGCCGCCACCTGAAAAGACTGGCTCTGTGCAACACCATTTGAATTTGATATTTGGAAGGGTATTCGTGTTTGTGTTTTGGTTCCCGTTGGGCGCTCCGTTGGGAGGTAGATCTTGATCTTGCATGGAACAAGGAGAGACGGCACATCCGGGTGCCCACCAGAACTTGTTTCTTTCTTCTTCGGGAGCATTCTTGTTTCGCAAGTAAGGACGATCGAACGCGCAACTGGCACATAGTGTCTTCCTGCACCCGGTGCAGTGCATCATGACCGAGCACTGTTCACACCGTTCCAGGATCTCTGCTGAACAGTTGTGGCAGATGACGTTTTCGACAAATTTTCGGTGAGATGCTCGTAGATGTGCCGGCGTTGCTTTGCCCTCGGGACCCGTGCCAATGGTTTCGCCGTTCATCCCCTCCTCGTCAACTTCCCAACTCCTGCAATCCCATTTCCGCTTCTTGGTCAAGGCGTAGTTTCTGGGTTGCTCAGCTGGACCCAGCCAATTCCGACTCCTCCACAAGCGATCATAGACTACCCAGACTTCCCGGGGGTCCTGGGGCATACGTAGTTTCACATACCCTCGCCTCCGATAACACCTGGCGCCGGGCGTGGTGCACCAAGCCGTATCTGTCCAGATGCCTAGTTTGTGGCAGGTCAGAACCAGTTCATGCGTGGGCTCGCTATCGCTCTCCTTGCGTGCGAGGCTACTCGGCAAATACGGCCTCCTCCTGTGGTGGCGGCATCGATAGGTATATAAACTCTTCAGAGCAAGGGTCTCGAAACCGGGAGGGCCTTTGGCATCCGGTGACTCGCGAGCCAATGCATGCATTTGTAACCATGGATTGATGTGGTATTTCAAGGAGACATTCTTGCACCCGCGCACTGAGACGTGGCGAAGGGTCTCCCTCCTCAATATCAGCACAGTGGACGTCAAAGTTGTCCCACTAACAGCCGTGTTATCCAACTCCAGGCTGACAAGCCTCGTGCTAAAGGGGTTTATGACTGTCAGGATGATTTGGTCGAGGGCGTAGTTGCTCGATTGCCTTTGTCCGTTATTTCCAGCCACGTTTACGCCGACGGTGGCGGTCGGGACCGCGGGTTGGTATAGACGCCATGAGATATATCGCCAGGAGGTGGGAGATTTCGAGAAGAAGTCACGCAGGTAGGGTGAAGTCTGATAGAGTTTGAAGATGGACTCAGTTGGAACCTGAGCGAGGAGTGATTCGAGGATGGGCGGGTTGCAGGTAATCAAGAGTTCGAAGGGCGAGAGGGTCTTTCGGACAGGCCCAAGTACCGGCAACGAAGACTGTACTGGCTCTGGGGCAACGGCCATTATGAGTACTGGGATAATGGTGTCGAGAGTATTAGAAACTCCGAACACATATTTCGGGTCGTCAATGGAACGAGGGAAACACGGTCAACGTGCTTGAGGAGAAAGTGAGCGGTAACATCCATGCACCGCTACGACCATGACATGTATTTTGCAAAGAGATGACCAATTCAAGCGAAGTCTCATCGATGTATAGAAGAGAGAAGACGAGTCGGGCGCTGATTTGAGAAGGGCGCAGGTCAGGCTGGAAGAGGGTCTCCCCTCCACGTGACGAAAAAGGCACCACCAGCAGCCTCACTGGCGCGTGCCGCGGAGCCTGTGGCGCCTCACTGTGGCAGATCATTAGGTGCCTTGGGTGCCCTCTGTTGGGACAGGGATCCTCGGGGCGCCCCTAAGCGAGCACCACTGGCGCACGCTGTACGAGGTACGAGGTACAGAGTTGGGCACACATCATAACTGGCACCTCTTCGCCAACAAGTGTCAAACCACTATTATTCAACTGTCTAGTATATACAGGGAGGGTTTGCTCTCTCGACGAGAATGTATTAATCGCCGCTTCAACGCCTCTGCTACATTTAGAATACAAGATACTAAATACAGAAGCCGGCGGCAGATCTGCGCTCCTAAGAGGATGGAATGGTGTTTGGGGGTTGAAATACAAGTCTTTGAGGCCGATGAGGCCGAGCAAATCTGCAACTCGGCGTCGCCAAGGGTCACGAGCTTATGATGCTGTGTCCGTCCAACGGCCCGATCGCCATCAGATCAATTCCCACAAGCTGAGCAGGAAATCGTAGCAAGGCTCTAACCCTTTCATCCTGATCGTGCATCAAGAATGTCGTGATGGCGACGCATTCATTCTTACATCTTGCACTGCTCCACCACTGATCGAGCCCAATCATCAATGCCAACCAATGGGCCAGGATCAACAGTGCTCGCTTGTCTCTGCAAAGCAACAGTTGAAGAAAGTCTCCTTCCACCGACCCGACGAATGTGACCAGCTTGTTAAAGGTGTTCATCCCCGGCTTGAGTCTTCGTATGAAGAGTAGATGCTCCAACGCCTCGTAATAAGGGTTGTTCTGAGACGACGAGTCCGGGGTAACCTCGCACAGCTCCAGAAACAAGGCATGAATATCGTCGCCAGCCTCTGCAGTCATGATTGTAGACGCGAGTTCCTTGATATCCGAGTCCGTGAAAACCGGATTCCACACAGATGCCCAAATCACTTCACCCAGCTCAGCATACAGAGCATTAAACCCATGCTGAATCGTCAACCATCTCAGACACTCACTTCGATGCTCCGCTGGAGCGTACACGAAACTCGTTCCAGGACCCGGTTGAGATTGGGGGAGCATGAATTGATGGACGCAAATCAGCATCACCGTCGATAGCAGGGCATTCATGTTGGCCTTGGTGACGCCGGTCGCCAGCTCATCGCGGAAGAGTTGCAATGCCCTCTGAAAGTGGTAGAAGTTCGTCAGCTGGTTCTGGTTATGTTGGGCCGGATGTCGAGCAGCCGGAAGAAGATGACACAGGTGTGCAGCCGAGACACCATTCACTGCGTGCATGAGGTAGGGCTTCTCGAGGGCCAGATCAAAAGCAGTGGTTCGTATGATCTCTTGTCCCATGTTGGATCCCATCGAGCAGTATGTGACGGTGCTAAAATGACTAAATGTGTGTCCCATGGAGGTCATTTGACTGGGGATTTCGAATGGAAAAGGAGAAGGCGGGTTGCGAACCAGCGTCAGGGGTACGAGAGATCTTGAGCTCGATTCTTGACTGATTGTTCTGACCAAGGATCGTGACCCATTGTTACTTGAGCAGGAAGACGTAGGAGAACCATGTTGCTGCTGCTGCTTCGGGAGGATGACAGAAGCACGGCATGGCAGTTGGGCTCCTTTGTTATAATCACAAGCAAGTCCATGGCTCTGGCACTTGAGACAACCACCATCTCTGTTCTCATCGCACTAGAGATAATGCATTAGTCCACTCACCAGGCTGTCCGCACATCCGAGTACTCGGAGAGAAAACTACCTTGATTCGTCGCTGTTTGCAGGTCCTGCAGCCGTGCCGCGACTTCTTGTGGGACCTCCTCGTATGGACTGGTGTCTTTTCTGCTTTGGACAATCTGCCGGTCCTTGATGTAGCGGATCCAAGGGTGACCCTGAACACTGACTGCATGGCCTTTCCTTGTTTCAGCGTGGTACGCTGCTGTGTGCCTGGAGGTAGGCTCTGTGCCATAGTAAATTCAACTCGATCGCCGAGTTGGCGCCAACGGTGTCGATGCAGTTGCGGGGAGAAAACTGCAAGGATGCAGAAGGGATAGAGGGAGGATTGATACGATATTTGCCCGTCTCGACGTTAGGCTGCCACATTGTCCTGGGATCGTGTCGACTCGGGCGCGAGGTAGTGGGAAAGGAAATAGACGAGTCTGACGGAGAGATCGAGATTGCCTTGAAGTCATTTCGCGCATCCGTGAGGGAGATTCATCTTTGCGGGGATTGTCAGACTTGAACTCATTTTTCGAACTTAGACTTCAGGCACTCGGGGTTTCAAAAAGGGAAATCTTCGTATTCGGATCCTGTAGTCGAATTGAGCTTCGGCTTCAACTGCTTATCCCGACAGGGTCTACTGAATCCTCCTCCTGTGGTCTATATGGGTAGGTTTGGTGCTGGAAATGCGCATGTTTCTTTTTTTCCTCCCCAGAGGGTCAAAGAGACGGATGGGGAATTGTCTACACCATAGGCAGACATTGGTACATACAATTCTACTAGGGGGTTTTCTTTTTTCACGAGCGGACAAGTTCATTGAGATCTTGCTCGTTCGAGTCATCCAGTCCAAAGATCCCTTCAACCACAGAATTTTATCGGACAGCCGGCTCCTCGACTGTCAAACCCCATCCCCCATTTCAGGTCGTATAAGGTCAGGTCGAGTCGAATCGAGTCGAGATCACTCCCAGGTCTTGCCATACTGATCAAAAGCGAACTTTCTGCCCGGATGGTCCGCTCTCAGCTTTGCATCTCCGGGGGTGCCAAACAAATTCTCCCGTGCCGTGCTCTCGTCGGGCGTCGGATAGTCCTGGTTGTATCCCCTCCTCTCCAGCTCGGGGATCAGCAGATCAACCACATCCTCCCACGCCCCGGGCACGACGACATGGCCGATGTTGAACCCGTCCACATCGCCTTCATTGAGCCACCGCTCCATCTCGTCGGCCACGGTGACGGGGCTACCCGCGATGAACGTTCCACTGCCTCCGATGGCTTGGAAATTGCCCAATTCCCGGGGGGTCCAGACCTGGCATCTCTCAGGCTTAGTCGTCAGAGCTTCGATGGCACGGTCGCTGAGGCCTTTGTATGCCGGATGATTGCGGTCCGTGGGGAATGGTTCGTCGATGGGAAACTGGCTGACGTCGATCTTGGTGATTCCGCAGAACAGGGCGAGGCCGCCCTCGGGAATGGCATATTTTCGATACTCGTCCAGCTTGGCCTGTGCTTCTTCGTCGGTCGGCGCGAGGATCGGGGTGAATTGGACGAAAAACTTCAGATCGCGAGGGTTACGGCCTTGAGTCGCTGCCAGCCGGCGTGTCTCTGTGATCTTGCCGCGCAAATATCCCGGGGTTCGTCCTCCGATGAAGATGCATTCGGCGTGTTTCGCTCCAAACGCTGCGCCTGCTCTACCCTACAGTTAGCGGGAACACGCATAGTGGCTTGATTCTGCCAAGTTTCGCAAGGTCCCAATACTCACGGTGACATGCCCGCTTGAAAGAGCACCGGTGTTCGTTGTGGTGAAGGATCGACCAAGTGAGCGCTCACACACTTGAAGAAGCGGCCTCGATGCTCTATCTTCCGGACCTTGGACGGGTCGGTGTATGTCGCATTTGCAGAGTCTTGCACAACGGCGTCATCAGCCCAAGAACCCTCCCAAAGCCTGTCTCAATGTTTAGTTAACAGGCCTACAGTTTATACCCAACCATCGACATGGAGAGCTGACCACATCAGAGTCCGATAGAGAGAGGCCTGGACTTACTTGTACATGAGGTTCAGATACTCCTCGGCCATTTCGTAGCGCAGATCATGCTCGGGCAGTTGCTCCAGGCCCACAGCCCGGGCAGCGTTGTCCGACCATGAGGTCACAATGTTCTATACGCACCACACGGTCAGTCAGTTGGTTCATGCCAACGCAGAACTGACCTGGGTTCGGATCGGGTCGAAGCATTCCCAATGACTACTCACCCAGGCAATGCGGCCCTTGGTCACATGGTCCAAGGTGGAAAAGCGTTTGGCCAGAAGAAAAGGCGGTTCAAAAGTCGTACACGAAGTCACGCCAAAAGCCACATTTTTCGTGACTGCTGCCATGGCCGAAATGATCTGTCGCGTGTAAGTGTCACAGAACTATTTCCAAGATGCGAATTTCTTGGATTGATCAACCTACCACGAAAGGATCATACATCGGCCACTGGGTGCCCGCTCGAATGGCCGGCGCATGACTCCCGCCAAAGACATCGTGCGATCCGAAATTGTCGGCGAGAAAGAGGGCGTTGAATTTGCCCCGGTCGAGCAGTTTGGCGAGGTTGATCCAGTAGTCCAGACGGTTCTTGTACTTGGACTTGTCGACCGGGTTGCGCCATTGTCCTGGGCTTTGACGATGATTGTGATTGTCAGTTGATGTCTTCATATTCGCGCAGAGTGCAGAGATCGTCGTGTTCAATGTTTGAAAGCAGCGCACTTCACTGGAACTCACCTGATGTGGCCAATCCCATTCATGTCAAAGGCATTGAGCAAAATGCGCTTTTTCGGCTGAGGAGGAGGAGGAGGAGCATCGTCGACAATCGCGATCCTCGCCTGCTTGTTGTTCTCGCCGTCGTTGCTCATCTTGCCTCAATCTTGGTAGCCCTCTAAATGTCTCGTTGAAGATTGGGAGCGAAACGCACCTTTTGAGAAAATCAGTCTGCCACAACCACCCTATATTCTCTGTGCGCTCCCTCCCTCTCTCCCCTTCCCCCTTTGGTTCTTGGCCACCTTGCCGCACAGCCAGCCTTGCGATCCCAATCAGCCTTTGACCAGTCCACCCGGGGCGGATATAGCGCAGATAGCTGCCGTCTCCGATGTCGCCTTTGCGACCCGGTTTATCGTTGTTACCATCCAGAACGATAATGATGCGATCAAACCTAGTTGACGACCGGTATGAATATCTCTTTGCGCCAAGTATCATGGTCCATGGTCGAGGACCCATGGTGGGGACGACGTTATCTGGGGACCCATGAAGTTGAAGACAATGGCCTAATCGGGAATACTTCGCTCTGGGTCTGTCACGCAATTCCAACGTCTGAAGTCGACACACCTGCCAAGGGAGGAGGTTGACAGTGCTTTCAACCACTGATGTTCCGTCGAGCACATCAGGACATGATTCTTCTATCTGCACAGAGACACCATCGTCTGACTCGTAACCAAGCTTGAGCAAAACGTGGCCGGTAAATCTTGCACTGCCAAGCGACAACAAGAAAACAGCAAGCAAACAGCAAGCACCAAGGTCTACGGTAGACTTTGTCGACAGTTTGTGACGGCGGTTTGACTTCCTTCTGATGAAAGCAAGTTCATAGCGTTGCCCTTTTTCGGTGCCTCCGCCAGCCGTCTATTACCGGCGCTCATCGTTGCATCAATTATAGAGGAGAAAGGAATAATAAACATCATTCTCTAAAAAGAAAAAAAAAACCTTCCTGGTCTCAGACCAAGTCCTCGTGCAAGCGTCTGAGGTCTACTTTTCCCACCTCTTTCAGGTAGTATGTTACTGCGTCAAGGTCGTTGGCCTCGTCGAGGACCGACCTCCCATCACCCCAGAACCCGAGGAACCGGTTCTTCGCAGCCTTGCCAGCCACGCTAACCACATCCCCACCACTCTCGGTACCGTGTTGGTCCTCGCTTCCTATGCGAGCACCACCTAGGGTCTCAAAGGCAAAATCTTCCCACCTGGGCTCGGCGAGAACCTCGAGCCTTTGTCTGGTTGTTCCGGGAAACCCAATGACATTCCTCGCCCTGCCGGTGTGGCCCCCGAGTTTGAAATAGCTCCGGCACCCGTCGTTGACAACTGAGTCTTTGAAATATCGGTCGACCACCTCGCTAAACTCGCTTGCGGCGGCCAGAGTGGGACTCACGGTCGCGTACTGGTGTCGTTGTATTTTACGGATCACCTTGGCAATGTATGTTGCAGAGATTTCGCACTGGTAGGGCACAGAACCCCCGAACGCATTGCCTTGAGCCTGTAGCACGAAAAAGTAGTTTGGAGTCTGTGGTGCCATGGCGCCCATGTATGTCTCGGGATATCCCACTTTGCCACCGGGACGCCAAATCTGAGACAGGTCATCGCCGTCCTTGTTGATGGTTGGGAAGCGAGGATAGAATCCGTTCTGGAAGCCCGTGGCAAGGATGATCACATCCACGTTTCGGACGCTACCATCGCCAGTCTTCAACCCGTGCTCTGTGACCTCGATGATATTGTCGTCGATGAATTCAACCTTGGGCCCGATAATGGCCTCGAGATAACCCGGTGCAGGGGTGAGCCGCTTGCAACCGGGCGCATAATCCGGAGTCAGTCGAGCCAGCCATTCTTTGTCACCATGGAGACGCTGCAACATGGTCGAGAGAAGGCTCTCACGCAGTTTGTTGTTCGCTTCAGTGCCCAGCTTCCCGAACTGGTTGTTAACCGCGCCGTAATGTTGTTTGTCGAGTCCCTTGCGGTAAGCCAGGTATGCGGCTGGGTTTTCCCGAAATGTCTTCTTTTCGTCTTCGCTGTAGACGAGACCCCCCGGAATTTCAGCTGAAGCTTCTAGCAGGCCTTGACGAAACGTCGGGCTGACATAGGTTTTGGAACGGACATAGTGGTCAATGTGGGCAACTTGGGACACAATGTTGGGCAAAATCTGCTGACCAGATGCCCCATTCCCGATGATGGCAACTTTCTTGTTGTCCAGAACGATGCTTGGATCCCATCTGGCGGTATGCACGACCTTGCCTTTGAACGTCGCCAGATCCTTGATGTCGGGATAGTGAGGCTCATTGACTCTTCCAGGAGCCGAGATCAAGAAATCGGCACGGTTCCTGAAGACCTCGCCAGTCAAGAGGTTTCGTACTTCAACGTCCCACTCTCGTGTGTCTGCGATCCATCGAGCAGACAAAACTTCATGCGATAGCCGAAGATTTGGCTTCACTCCATAGTCTTCGACCACTCGGGCATAGTACTCCTGGATCTCACTGCCTTTGGAATAGTACTCGCTCCAGTCAGTGTTGGGCGCAAAGGTGAGTTGATACACGTGGGATGGCACGTCGCATCTGACACCAGGATAAGTGTTTTCAGCCCAAGTGCCTCCAACCTTGCTGTTCCTGTCGTATACGGTGTACGTCAGATTGTCGACTTTGTGGGAGAGCAAAACTGCTGTTGCAATTCCGCCGATTCCTGCACCGACGATGATGGCGCTAACCGGTCTGCTCGACTGGGATCGACCTGGCGGCACAGGAATGTCCTCATCAGGCGTGGTAATTGCACTTTGCGGGCCTCCTGTCTCTCCATCAGAATCATCGGTTACTACTGGAGTGGGCAGTCTCGAGCTATTTTCAGACAAGAGAGCCATGTTGGTAGAGGACAATGACCCCAAGGGTTATCGAGTAAACTTGTCAATTGGACAAACCGTCGGGGTTCATTCGCGACCCTATAGATAATGTCTTTTGGAGCAAGTATTCTGAAGATCTTTGTACAAAGAAATCCACCGCCCTCGCGTGCTGGATCTATAAAACCCGCCCATGCGTTCTTGGCCGGCCTCGAACATTGTAGCGCGTTTCGGACCATACCAGCGGGTCGTTTTGCCAGGGAGGAAAGGGATGTGGTCCACAACTTGTCAATAACGGTGCGCGGTACGATTCTTGGATGGCGTGCTCGCCTATATGATTCCGATCATCGGATACAATAGATAAGTCTTCAACGGTCGGATTGGGCATGCCGTGTGAGGCCAAAAAGAAAAAAAACCACAACAAAAAAAGAGTTCGACGAGGCAGATGTCGTGATTCCATGGCATGTAGATAGCGCAAACTGAAGTTGAGGCTTGCGAACCCAGACGACTGGATTTCCCCATGACCGAAGATTTAAAAAGGTATTTAGAGAGCACTCCATGCCCCCTGTTCACTGCAAGACGCTTTCTGGCAAGCGGATAGATAGTTTTGACTTGAAGAAACAAAATCTACCACATCCATAGAGCCATGTCGAAGCAGCAGGAAGACGTCGTGATTACCGCTGTGGCGGGTTCGGAGGTCCTCAGCGACTCCAAAGAAGAACTTCCGTTGACCTCTGAGAAAGCAAACGCTCACCCGGCCCAGGATAGAGGTTTTCTTGCCTGGTTCGACAAGAATGATGGACCAGTGGAGCGCCGCTTGGTCCTGAAGCTTGACTTTACCATTCTCTCGTTTGCCTGCATGGGTTTCTGGGTGCGCATATCCCAGTCGTCCGTTTGTGTCTTGAGGCAAGCTGACATGTCATTAGGTCATGTACATTGATCGCGGCATCCTCGCCAATGCTTATGTTAGCGGGATGAGAGAAGGTATGAGATGATCTGGCATTGTGTGTTTGGGGACATGGACTGATATCGCCAACAGACCTCAAACTACTCCGGAACGAATACGTCCAGCTGCAGTCTGTGTTCACTGTGGGATATGCAGTGTATGTCATCGTCCAGGGATATCGACTTCGTACTGACCATGCGCCTAGTTCCATGATTCCATCGACGCTGCTCGTAACCAAGATCCCCGCTCATATCGTGCTCCCGACCTCAACCTTCCTCTGGGGCCTTTTCACAATGCTTTGTTTCTGGGCCAAAAGTTTCGGTCAGTTGGCGGCGTACCGACTCATCATCGGTCTCTGCGAAGGACCCTTTTTCTGTTCGATTCATTATGTCCTTGGGAGTTGGTACCGACCAGACGAGATTGTGCGTCGAGCTGGTATTTTCTACATGTCATCTGGCGTCGGAACCGTGTCGACGGGTGTTCTCGCTGCGCGAATCTATCGCAATCTCGACGGCAGCCTTGGACACGCGGGATGGAGGTGGATGTTCCTGATCGGATCCCTGTGCACCTTTCCCATCGCCCTCTGGGGGGCAACTTTCTTCCCGGGTGCGCTTAGGACCTCGAAGAGATGGTTCCTTACCGAGGAAGAGCACGCTCTTGCGCTGGAGAGAATGCGCTTGGTGGGTCGCAAGTCCCCGCAAGGCTTGCCGTTTTCTTTCTCATCGGTCAAGAGGTTCTTTGGTCGATGGCATTTCTGGGTTCTCGTGCCTTGGAACATCATCTGGATTCTCGGCATGGGCTGGTGGCAACAACACATTCTGTGGCTCAGAGCGCAGCCGCAGTACGACACCTTCCAGGTGAACAACTATACAGTCAGTCATCCTCCATTGTACATCGAGTGTACCTCACTGACGCTCCGATCTAGGCCATCAGCCCAAGTTTGGGCGTCGTCTTCATCTTTACCTTTTCGTGGGTGGTCGACAAATGGGGTGATCGGGCCAAGATCCCTTTGTTCGGCTTCGTCACGTTCATGACATTCATCGCTGCCTTGGGCTTTGTCCTGTACGACCAGTCATCGTTCGCCTGGAAATGGTAAAGTCTCCCAGTCAAGGTTCGTAAGATTAAGCTGACATGGTGCTAGGTTTGCCGTGGCCATTGGTTATATGCTTGTATCTCTGTCACCAGTCATATATTCGCATGCCAACCTGGTGTGCGCAGGTGATGCAGAAGAGCGAGCCTTTATCATCAGCTCCATGCTCGCCACTGGGACGGCCTTCAACTCTTGGGTTCCAATTCTCGCCTGGCCAACCGTGGAGGCACCCAGATTCCACAAAGGGTACATCTTGACCATCACCTTGCAGCCAATTTACTTCCTGTTCAGTGTCTTTGTCTTCATCTTCTCTCGAAGGATGATGAGAAAGGAGAAGGCTCTCAGGGAGGCGGCTGAGGCACAGCAGCCGGTGGCATGAACATCCCGCACTCGACTGATTGGTTTGAGGACCTATTGGAGAAGTGCCTCGTTTGGGAGAGGGCGTGGACTTGGGTGGTGGGCATGGTCATGAAGATGGGAATGAGTGTGTTGGTCGGCCATAGTGTCGGTCTCAAGACGTTCTCTGTCGTACGTATCAAGCTGCTACGTCCTCCGAGTGAGTTGGACAATGTTGAAATAATGAGGGGTCGTCTCAGTCACTCGGTTGTAGGTCGGCGGGCTATTTCCATGCGGCACTTGGATCGACTGCGGCTCTGGGCAAGGTCAGCGAAGGACCACGGTGGTTCCTATGGTTACAAGCAGTTGTTGAGGGGTAGAGATGCAAGGTGGTTCAACGACTATTGGCAAGTCGTCCAGCAGTAGCATGGCGGGGTCCATAGAAGAGAGGAAAGAGATCTCTGCTCAACACAATGAATGGTAGGTGAGAGGTAGCATTGGGCTACAGTACTCGGTAGTGGTAGGTGTGGTCAGTTGGAGCACGGCGGCGAAAACAAGGAGAGCATGTCCAACTCGGCCCATGCTGAAAGCAAAAGTTATTACACCAGGCTCAACACCAACCAAAATTGTAAAGCCGGTCCAGAATCAATGCATCGCTAGAGGACAGCCACGCTATGCTTCACCAACACCCCGTTGCGAGCTACCTAAATGCTCGTACTGTCAACTGTATCAACCCAAGCGACAACCATCACTGGCCCTGGTGAATGCGCCCTGGAAGAAGTCTAGCATGGCAAAATAATGAAAGATGATGCCCAGGACCACAGCAACATGCCAGATATTGTGACTGCATCCAATGTAGTCGAACGTTCCAGGCCACCACTTTTCAGGTACTTGGCTTGCGTAGATGAGAGCTCCTGTGAAATACACCATGATACTTTTGGCAACGGGAGCGTAAAAATAGAAAGTCCAGGCAGCTCCTCGCGTATAGTTCAGTTGTAACACCGGCGCAAAGCCAACCACGACAAAGGTGACAAAAAATGCCACCCGGAACCAAGCCATATCGGCTCGATTGAAACTCTCCCGCCACGGCAGGATCGCTCCGGCTATTCCCAATGCCGTGGTCAGACTCATATAAATCGCTCGCGAGATGGGTTCGCAGTAAAAGGCTGTCCACTCAGTGCTAAGGATGCTCGCCGCCACCAGCAGGGAAATGCCAGTATAGTCGACACAAGCGAAACGATCGAACAAACGCTTGTCCGAGATGCTGTTCATAGTGTGCCACATGGTGGAGCAGATCATGCACTTGCAGGCAGCGGCGAAGAAACAGGCCGCAATCAGGACGTCCATTTTGGTGGACAGAGGAAATGTTGATGACGAAGGATAGTAGTAAAAAGCCACAGTAAGAACAATGAGCAAGCCGATGGTGTGTGACCAAATGTTCACCATCTCATTGTGTGCGTGAAACATAGTGGTGAGACACTCGAGCTGTGTCTTGTTGAATCGGTAGCCCTTGAGGATGTGGGGATTATTCCTCCAGGGCGTGGGAAGATCTTCGTAATGGATCAGCCTGGTCTCGGCAGCTCGGGTCAATGCGTGAGAGACGGAGTCGGCGAGCAAATCTCTCGCCCGAAAAGCTTTGTCGAGACCGTCTTCCAGTATCTCCCGGGTAGCATTGAGGGAGTCGTCGACCTTCTTCCATCCTGAATCAATAAATTGCTTCTTCCTTTCAAGCATCCCTGACTCGAGCTCCAAGAGAAAGGATTCCATAACCCGCATGCCCTCTTGTGCTTTGTGTTCCAGACTTTCTCGAGACGGCATAAAGTCGTTGTACCTGGTCTCCAGAGTATCGACCAGAATCAGGGCCCGATGTCTCGCAGCACCCCATAGTAGTTCACCAGATAAAGTAGGAGCACATGAATCTCGTACATCACTTAGAGCTTGGTAGGCTCGCTCCAATTGAGCATCAAAATGTAGAAGGCTCTCTTGGCGGTACTTTTCTAGTCTGTCCAGCCTACTTTTCAGCTCGCTTAGAAACAAATCGACTCGGACGAAGATCGCATCGGCGTTGCAGATGCTCGACTGCCGTCGTCGGGGAAGGGTGTTATAAGAATGACGGCGGCCTCGGGGCAGGAGCCGAGTGCGTTCATCGTCTCTCGCAGGACTGGACTCGCGGCTAGAAGAGGACTCGAATGTGACTGTTTGAGTTGCACAGGTCATATTCGTGAGATCTGCAGCATGCGGCAGCTTAAGCGGACGGCGGGGGGAGCAATAAAGACAGCCAGGAGGTCGAACGCTCAACTAAAAGCGGGTTCGGCGTCTGACAGCAAGCTGCTGAGTGGCGCAGTCGATATGTCGCGAGAAGTAATGGGAGTGATATAGGAGGTGAGAAAACAGTCTGAACGAGGGGAGAAAGGTAGAGAACGGTAAGGACTGGCTCTGAAGGGAAAGAATGAACACTATGACTATTTAGATACCATGCCAACGTCAGTTTCTCGAGGTGGGGATTTGGTGAATTGGTTGAAGAGAGTGGCAACAGGGAAACAGACAAGGTTCGAAGGCAGTGAGGAAGAAGTGCAGGAAAAGCGAGGCGCATGATGACCAAGAGAGTCATTTGATCCAATATATGAGCATTTTTGGGGTCTGGTCGCCTCAAAATTAGCTCACACCTTGTTCAAATGACCGTCTGACAGATGCATTGACCCGCCCAGCTTGGAGTGCCACGAGGTGCTTGGCCTCGTTGGGTACAAAACACCACTTCAGCATCTTCACATGCAATGCTCTCCCTATCCAATTGGCTGCGTTACTCTATCATCCCCTGCATCTCTGAATGTACACTGGCTGATTTTGGGTTGAAACTATGCATTCCATCACTGGACATGTGCTTCGCTTTTCGGAACCAGTGCGACATTGTTGCTCCTTGGCTGCCTTTTCCACCTCCATGGTGCACCCACGCCTCCCACTCAAATTCCGGATTGGTTAACTTGGTGCATTGGCTTTGATGTGCGCAAAATGTGCCGGGCAGACTCTGGTTCCTGAAGACGCTGCTTGCTCTCAAGTACACTCCTTCTTTCGAAACCGTCCTTGAATCCAGCATCGGTACATTTTGATGCGCCGTTGACGGTTGACGATTAGTCGACGATCCACATCCAGATTGCATATGTCGAAGGCTCCACCCCAGATCGTTTCCAGTTCCTCCTTTTCGAAGAAATATACTCTGGTGCCGTCTCCACGAACATAGAAATTATCCTCCATCCATCTACCAGCCTTGAAGCGTACTTGTGCGAGATCTCCGCGGCCATAGTCTCTGAACAATACTTCCCCTCCTGGCTTGAGCACTCGCTGAATGTTGACCAGAGCCTGTTGCCACTGCCTCGGATTCAAGGCCGAGAAGATGAAGATCATGATCACCACGTCCACGCTCCCTTCGTCTACACCTGGCGGCAGGGTTTCATCGGCTACATCCCAGACCTCAGCCACCATGACACCGTTTGACTCTGCGTATTCGTTTGCGCTCCTCATTGTTTCGACCGCCTTTTTGCTGAAGTCCACCGCAAATAGCTTCAAGTCCGGGTTTTCATTCAGTCTCAGGATTGGAAACGCCGTGTTTCCCGCTCCCGCGCCGATTTCGAGAACTACTTTCTTACCAGCATCTGGCTTCGTAACCTCGCCCAGGACAGGAAATTCTTGAACAAGCCACTTTCGGTCCTTGAAGAATGTGCTTGTCTTTTGCTTGTAGAACAGGTCCCACCATTTCTCAGGGCGTTCGTTGAAGCGTGCCCTGTCAAAGTCCGAGACAGGAGAAGCGCGTTGCGCAGCATATTGGGTCTCGCAGTACTCGTAATGGGCCGTGTCAGGCTCCACATGATCCCATGCATTGTAGGCAAAGACATCATCGTCCTCGGACAAAAATCGCTGTCCGAACTGGAAAGGTTGTGATTGTTTCGCATTCGTCGCAGGGTCATGCGACAGGTGAGGTGGGATTGTCTCCGCGGCAGATTTTCCCTCGGTGACATTTTTGTCATGAAAGGTTCCAAGATCGAGTGACGAGATCGCCTCTTCAATCCCCCTATCGGGCGCCATCTTTTGGAGGGTGCTGAATATTAGGAAAGGGTTGTGACAAAAAGTTGTTTGACAGAAATATCAAACTTGCGGTGCGGAGAAAGTTCAACTCCGATTGGCCAGGAATTTCACCTGCCAAACACGACCCTGTCAACCACCACTGCGCCTTATTCTCGTCTTTATCGTCCTTGTAAATCCCTTCTGAACTCGTTAGAGAGAGAGAGGATATCGAACCGCCCAGAATGGCCATTGACGATCTAATAACAGATCCCTCCCTGCAGCCGTTGCTGCAAACATCCCACGCGACTCTAGCGCAGACACTTTCCGTCTTGACCTGGTTAGAGGAACACGCGGCGACCTCAACCCCTACACTTGAGCAAAAGCTTGAGCTGGCGCAACAACACAAGATCCTGAACGCGTACCTGGCCAAGCTACGAGGTCAGCATCGACAGGCTGCCTTCGGTGTTCGGGCGACCAAGCAGGAGACGGCAGAGGCCAGACAGGAAGTGGACCGACTACTGTTGCAGCTCCAGAATCTGTACTATGAACAAAGACATCTGCTCGGCGAGATTGGCACTTGCGAGGCGTACGACCATCTCTACATGCACCTCCCGCTCCATCCCTTGGACGAATACATCGCAATGTTCCCCGACCAGGCAGACCTCCCGGAACAGGAGTTGATGCCGTTGAGGATCGAATATGAAAAGCAGGAGCGGGAGAAGATGGAGCAGAAGAGGTTGGAGCTAGTCAAGATCAAGGATTCCCTGGCCAAGGAAAATACCAGGAAGAAAGATGAGCTGAAGAAGATGGACGAGAAACTGGAGGCCATGATCGATGGTCTCAAACCCCTGGAAGAAGCGCTGCAGAAAGAACTGTAAAAAGGGACACCCATAACACCCATCACTGCAGTCAGTACGACGCTTAAGATATCTACCGAGGTTCCAAACCCTCACTACTCGACGATGGAGGACTAGTCTTGTGGCTTTGGTCAACTTCGGAACAAAACCTCATTGCAGACACACTGGTACAGTCGCAACAGAGCTCGCTATTGCGTCTTGCGCGACAAGTTGTCTATCGACTGCGCTGCCAAGGACCTTTATTTTTGCTCTCCTTGGGCCATGGTTTGTGTCTCATTCTACCGTTGCGGACTACTTTCAATACCGTCCTCAATCGGTGTCACTCGGAGACATAAGTGGTGCGCGCAATCAGCAGATTTTGCGTACTTTTACATGTCCAACTAGCGGCAGCGAGCAAAGGCAGCATCAATATCACCAGTCCTCACAAGGCCTCCACAATTGTGGCGGAAATTCTTAATGAGCGCCCTGCCTTAACCCGAATGGGATAAGAGCACCTTCAAGCGACTCCCGCCTGGTCGGGTACAGGACAACTCGTGACCTGCTTGCTGCTGTTGTGAACCTATGAGCAGAATCTTGGACCGTCAGCTTTATAATGAATGCTCAGATATTTTCATGCGGTGACTCAGATCGGAGAACTGTTTGGCTCAGGAATCTTCCGCTTCCAGTCTCGATCTGGTAGGAGGTCATTTTGTGAGACAAAGTGCTCAATCCTTCGCGGCGAGCCGATGTCAAAAACAAGTAGTACAGTGACGAGGAATAGCATTAAGGAGTGATTCACTATTGACATAAAGGTAACTAACTATCATATCGATAGTATTAGCTGTATCTGATCTGACCGCCACCTCGTCACTATTGAGTAACTACTTTGAATCCTCAGACGACTACTCACTGTCTATCGGACTGTGCCATTTATTCCTTCCAGAGGTTGGGCGGTACGCTGCATGGTCTCCTCTGATTTCCAGAGGCACGAGAAATTTCAAAGGCCATTTACAATACTTGAATGGCCGTGCCGATTCTACACGCAAAGTGTGGACCTTCTGGCGGCTGCTGGGCTTGTCCTGTAACAGTAGTCACTCGGCAGGCGGTACATGCGATGGGAGAACAGCTCACCTCATGACCTACCGGTCACTCACCGTTGTCCCGACAGACCTAGTGCTTTGGGTGAAGACATTAACAGGCAGAAAGACCCGCTCGGCATACCGACGCGTTGCAGATGCTGTCCAGGCACCAACGCCGGACTTTCCTGTGATTATTCCAGATGGTGGAAATACTTCGGTGGGGAACGGAAAACGGCAGGGTGGATATCTTCGCTCCATTGCAGTTGGCGACAGTGGCAGTTGAGGATGCAACTTCACTAGGAGTCCCCGTGTCAATGAGGCAGCCCATGTTACGAGTCATTCGAGAGGAGAATTCCATTACGGACCTTTGAGCCTACTTGGTCGTGGTAGCGTATCTCATTCTTGTCCCATCTTGTCAGTTGTTCGGTGTTGGCACAAGTGCATCAGACCTGTGGGATCTGGTCAGAATCGCCCGATGGAGAGAGCTGCCATGCCTTGCTCGGTGGTTTATCTGGATAATAGGGACACTCTGAACCCAATCCGGGGGAAGTGGACAGTCAGCGTTCCTGCGTCAGCATCGCGACGTTCGATTGCAACCTCTGCGACGGTTAACTTGACAAGTCGTCCCACAACTGGCTCACACCCATAGTCCGTTGGGGTGACCGCCACCACCGCACCGGCTGCGAAGCCCAACGCGTCGGCATCATCAACCTCCGTCACCGGTGTTGATGTGCTCGCCCGGGCCAGCTTGATTGCATCTTCCGCAGTGATTTCACTCGTAGTCCCAGATCCAAAACTCTTTATCCTTGTTTCCCACGACACCACATGAGGAAAGGGTGATAGATCTGACTCTGCGAACGGTAGATTCGAGCGTACGGTCCAAATGCTGCTGTAAACTTGGAAATCTGCCATGCTAGGCTGCACTCCAAACCAGAAGGCTCGTCCATCCGAGAGGTGTTGCTCAACAATGTCGAGGTGGGCGCGCAGCTGAGTACGTAGGTGCGGTATATCATTCTGTAGACCGTCCACATTCAGAGTACTCCCAAAGAAGGACCGGCGGTCGTCAATCAACGACTGCGGCATAAGATGTTTGTTCACACCTATTGCCAGGCCGGAAGCCGTCATGTGGAAGTCTTGATCGGTCCAAGCTGAGAGAGCCATGCACGATGCTCGACTGTTGTTCGGGAAGATTGTAGGCGTTGGATACCGTCGCTCGAGCTCCAGGGCAATGAGCCGTGAATCACAGTAGATGTCGTTCCCAATCTGCATCACGGGAGTCTTGCGATAGCCTCCAGTCAAGGCCTTCAATCTGGGCTTCGGCATCACCAGCTCGGCATCGACGCCTTGCCATGTTAAACCCTTCAGTCCGAGTATAAGGCGGATGCGTTCGGCGAAAGGGGAAGCTGCAAAATGATGCAGAATGATGCTGGGCATAATGGATGACCTGGGGTGGCTTGGTGTGAAGAAGGCTGTGGCATGGAGTGAGTTACATGGGCACTACTCGGTAAATGGGCTTGATGGGCTGTGTCAGTTAGTCTTATTATATCCATTCGTCATTTCAAAGCTTGGCTGGCAGCCTGATGCCTGCCTGTCTGCCTGTCTGCCTCCCTGCCACGCTCCTTAAGGCTCCCACTTCTCACATAGTCTTCACCAATCCGTCTGCCACATCTTCAATGCGAGATTCTGTCGATGCCACTGTAAATACCTAGTTGCACACCGATCAACAGAGCCATGGTTATCATGGCGTCTTTGTTTTCTTGCTGCACCTCTAGCGACCGTCCAAGCAAACCTGAGGCTCCCGCCTATCATACCCGCATCGTCACCGTCACCTCTGGACAGCCTCATCGCTACAGATGTCCCCTTACGCAGCCCCCGAGCTGTTATCACGACAGTCCTCCGCAGTATGAAGAGATCGTTCAGTACCCTTTGACGAACGTAGACAAGAAAACCATTCCCATCGAGTTTCAGGTAACCGTGGATGACGAAGATCTGCCTCCGCCTGTATCAGCAGTATCACCTCGCTCTTCTATTGTCTCGATACCTTCCACCCGATTGACTGACCTGACCGCGGCACGGACCGGAGAGACAACTCACCAAAGTGGAAGAGAAAGCCTTGAGCGTGTTTGGACTCGAACTAGTCTCCCTGCGTACTCAGACAGGAGTTCAAGCCCGGCGGCTTTTTCGGTGGCAGCAGGAGAGGATAGTCGAGACATAGTATGGCAACACCCTGTCATGACGAGCAATTGGTTCGAAGTACTGCGGCAAGAAACGCAGACTACGCAAAGCAGGAACAACAACAGACCAAGCGGTGAAAACAGGGCAATGCGTCCAGGATTTGGATAATGCATTCTGCAGTTGGTTGACAATTACAACAGCCAAACCACACTCTCTAATGATATGACACGGAACCTCTGCGACCGTCCAAAAGACACAATAAAGTCCCAAGGCCATGCGTCTGCACGAACCTAGGCTTGCGATCCAAGGCCCTCACTGCTCAAGGAGGGAGGTCGATCTCAGGGCGTTGCCAGGACTAGCCACCTCGGTGTTGTCACTAGTGCCTATCCCACTACAATGCACATCAAGGTCGAGGACACGGTGGTGCAGAATGCAGATTTGGTGGTCGACTACCCGGTCAATTATTCACAGTGAACTTCATGGACGGGCTCGGGACAATGGCTGAGAAGCCGCACTTTCAACAGAATTTTCAGTCTCAGATAAGTACCTGAAACTGGCGGTGTCGAGGACGCATCTCAGCCTTCCTAGTCGACACGACGACACAATTCTCGAGACTGAGACCGATAGCAGACGCAGCCAAATGTGGTGATAGATCAGATAGTGCAGCAAACGTGGTCTCAGATGATGCAGAGGAAAGGGAGAAAATCCGCACGACCGTCGTTACTTTCGCCTTTTACATAGAAGATATATCTATACCTGAAGGCCCAACCTCGCAATAATGAAAACGCTCTTGTTTCGATGATCCACAAGCAGCGACTACTGCCCACACAATCATCCTGAACATGATCATCCTACACATGGCTGATCAACAATCTGGGCCTCTACTAAGCAACGTGGAAACGACTCCTGGGTCGAGGCTCAACTACCGAGCACCAGAGCAAGAAACCTGGGAGGGATGACGTAGGATGCTTGGTTCCCAGTTTCCCCAGGATCGCTACACATCGGGGTATCCCAGCGAAGCGACAAAACGGAACTCGGATGATCCAATAAGATAGAAACGCACACTCGCCGTCTGGTGCCGTCGCCAAGAAGATCCCGCCTGAACGGCCTTCGCGGGGTCTGGGTATTGATCGACATGATGGTTGATCTTTAGTCGCATTTTTCAGTCGTCGTCGGCTCCCTCTCCCAACATGTGGAGAGAAGCTTCAAACAACGTCGTTCTCTGCGTCTTTCCAGACTGCGTGCATGGTACGCTGTCAAATGGCTCAGTGACACTAGGACTGACGAGTGATCCCGTGCCGGACGGATTGGAGACATCTATGGGCCGGGAAACCTCGAGGCATTCCTTCCCCTGGGTTGAACCCCTTCTACAAAATGGCGTCGAATTCCAGTGCCTCCTCGAGCTCCTTTTCGTCAGCAGCAGAAGGAATTACGGGGGGCTACACCGGCGACAGTCTCACCATCAAAGTCATGATCGCGTTCTTCCTCGGTCTATCGCTGTATAACGCTCTCGAGTTGCAGGTACTCATATTTGGTACCTTTAAAAAGTTCAAGGGCCTTTATTTCTGGAGCCTGGTCGTTTCCAGCTTGGGCATCGTGCCTTACTCAATAGGCTTCATCTTCAAATACTTCTCGATCCTCATGAGCGCGAAGTGGTTCTCCCTGCTGCTATTGAGTATTGGCTGGTATCCTATGATTACAGGACAAGCAGTTGTTCTGTATTCAAGACTCCACTTGTTGTTGACAGGCGAAAGAAGAGACAAGATCCTGAAGTGGACGAAGTGGATGATTATCGTCAATGCGATTGTTCTGCATATACCGACAACGGTTCTGACCATCGGATCCAACAGTGACACGCATACCCGTGCCTTTGTGGACGGATACAATGTTATGGAGAAGGTCCAGATGTGTGGCTTCTTTCTCCAAGAAGTTATTCTGTCGTCGATCTATATTATCGAGGCTATTCGCACACTTCGCTCCTCGGTGCAAACAAATACCAAGAGACTCATGTATCAACTGTTGGCGATCAACGTCTTAATCATCACGCTGGACCTGGGCTTACTGGGGCTGGAATGTGCCTCGCTGTATATCCTCGAAACAATCACAAAACCGGCCTTTTACTCGATCAAACTTAAGCTGGAATTTGCCATTCTTGGGAAACTGGTCGATTTTGTCGGTGGAAGGAACTCATCACTTCCGTTTACACGAGATGAGAAGCGAACCTCTTCGGCTCTGACTGGAGGCACCGACATATCCGAGTTCGTGGACCTCACAAAGGTCGGCACTGATGTGACAAGGATATCTCAGCGAAAGTGGCCGACCACTGGGAACAGGGCTGATACCAGAAACCGGGACTTCGATATGGAGATCGCGAGACTGGAGCACGTGGAGACGCTTCCGTCAGAGGCAAGGATACCCAACGGAGAGTTGGGGCTCGCAAGGTAGTAAGAGACTGAAAGCTTGAGCCAGAGCTTTGATGTGGTAGACACTCTTCGGCACAATCAAGGATATCAGACGCCTACCAAGATGTCATTGCGTATGTCAGGTCTTTGTTGTCCGGAAAGACAGGCTGAAGATGGCTATTACACTTCTCGCGTAGAGGTATATTCCTCACGAGCGAGTGTTTGGCTGTTTGGCTGTTTGGCCGCTCCACACCTGAGCACCAGAACTGGGTCGAGCTCAGGGGTTGGTCGATATGTCCCGCAACGGTGATGGCACTCATCAGAAGAGGATGTTCGACGAGCAAGCTCAAGTGTTTCTGCGGGAAATGACATGAGTTCAACTACCAACAGTTACCTGCCTTCCACTGCTATCGCGTTGTTCAAAGGACTTGCGGCAACTATTTCGATGTGCAATCTGATTTCTTCGAGACGCTTCTGCGCCAGATACCAATTCTCAAGCCTTACTCGCCCTCCGCTTTATCAGATAATCCTTCATTGAGACTATGCTTGCCCTCCGACTGGACCCGCCACCTGATCCCACGACACTTCCCAGGCTCTCTCTCCGCTGGCTCATACTCGCGATACTCAGCCGTCGCATGTTTTCGTTATTCGAGCGTGCTTCTTGATCTTCGAATTCGGTGTTGGTATATTTGTTTGCGGCGCCGCCTATTCAAGTTTAGTCCTCTGTTCGTGGGATTGATACACGAAGGGTCTCTATGTGATACTCCGGGGGCTGAGGATGTGGGAATTGGCATGTACCTCGTCCTGTGTGATATCCACCCTCAACGAGTACAATTCCCGGCGCTTGTCTGTCGCATAACAACCTTGCCATCTCCTCATCGGCCTCCTGTTTGCCTCGGAATCTACTTGCCACAGACATGTTTCCTGACCCGCCGATTCCCGTGGAGAAACGGCGGCCTGCATTGAATCCTCCGTGGCCTGTGCCCGCAGCCGGCAAGTGTGTGTCGGCGATCCAAGAGGGACGGCGTACTGCTGTAGCTGTTGAGTCGACGACGTTGCCTGATTGCATTGGTCAGTCTCGTTTTGTGACGAAGATGAAGAAAAGAGATAAGGGAGGGCGGGTGGTAGAACCTGCGCCGCCGCGTCCGACATGGACATAGATGCGACCTTTGGGGTTTGCTGCCATGGTCCTGGGCGTGGGTTCGAGACTGTTTGCTCCGCTCGCGACAGGTATTGCAGTTGGAGGACTATCTCTTGGATAGATCAGCGATGTTCTTCGACCCAGGGATGAAGCGAGTTATCCAGGTGGGACGAAAAGAGTGACGACAGAGGCACACGTGTTCGCTTCGCAAGTGTTCTGATGTTACGAAGCAGGGAGAGCGCTGAATCGACAGAGATAAGGACCTTGCCAGAGATATCACGAGACGGTTGGAGCCAATGAGCACACGACGTGTGCCTCGCGGTGGCGGGGAAGCCAGACGCTGAGGGTAGAGTGAATGAGTGAGTTTTGTGACGTTCAGGCATGAAGAAAGCCAGTTAGATTGCGGGAGAGCTGGCAAAGGACGCGTAGATCTTTAGCGAAGCAGCATGCTCCCCTTGCCGCCTGGCTTTCTGGATGTTGAGGAGGAGTCAAGTTATACTGCTGCATATTCAGGGTACCTAGATACCTATATACTCCCTTCGAGATGTCTCCATTTGCTTTGAAATGAATACCAAGAGAATGCCGGGGGTCGCTACCCCAGATTTTGGCACCGCCTACGGGTCCTTGTGCAAAGCTTGGTTGTGGTTATTTGGTGGGAATGGCACTTATAAGTGGCTCGCTGGGGCACTCTGGGGGCATCTAGGGGAAGCTTGTCATGTGGGTTAGGTAAAGGCCTCGCCCAATGGCCCACCCATTCGAGGCCCTCCCTCTGGTGCCCCTGTCATCATTACCCAGATGACCTCACAGGGCCAAGACCCAAAGATTTACTCGTGATTGTCCTTAGTCCTCGGTGAGGATTGCGGGGTTGATGCACGATGTGCTGTCCACTTTCTTGCATTCTGCGACGCAAAAGTCGATCAGATGGACTTCACCCTCACGTCTAACAGTATAACCGTTGAAACCTCTGTCTTCAAGTTACTCCCACTGACTCCCTCCAGACCCCGTCCACCTTATCGGCTCCAGCCCCCTCGTCGCGATCACTGGATGCAGTCGACTGCAGTCAGTCGTACGAGGACGTGATATTGGACGAACGGAGCCAAATTTCCATGTTCCGTGTACTCAAGGAGGAAGAGGCGGTAAAACGGGGAAGGACCCCCTGCGCTCCCCTTCCTGTGACAACCGACACGGGGTGAAGAGGTTGATGTTGGACAACATGACCTGGAGCAGGGACAAGGCCGCCTACACCAATACCCCTGAGCGAGACTGGATCATTCACCAGGGTGGCTACATGAACTACCGAACACATCGTATACTCCTTTCCACACCACGGCTATCACTATCACTCGTGGGAGTAGTGAGAGAGTATGAGGGCCAGACGAAGAGGAGGAGGAGGAGGAAGATAGGAAGCAACAAGTGCGATTCCTCACAAGATGCTTGGGACAGAGCCGAGGCCCTCCTTATCAGTCTTCGGATTTCTGTCCAATCTCCTGAGCATGCCGTTCTCCAATTCTTATCAATGAGTTGCGCGTGACTACCGCACAATGTACGAGTACGCGATGCTCTCTGGGTTCATATGCGTGCAGCAACCATTCGACAGGGGCCTCTCAACGGTCGCCGTTAAACTTATTTGGTGCTTTTGAGCGCTAGCCAGTTGAACCTACTCGCGGCTATACTGGAATTCCTTGAGAGGATGCCCGCATCAGCACGTTGCCGCTGCGGACTTGCATTTTCCGCACTTCCCCTCCCACCAACTCGAAGCGGGCCTGCAACTACAGCCAACGGCTTCGACATCCCAGCAATCAATGCAGTTGGGGAGGATGACGCGTGGCAAATGCTTTGTCCCAAACCTGTTGCGAAATCTCCCACATGGAGCTTGCGGCAGATGAAGTCAGTTCAGACTCTTATCGGATCTGTGTCTGTGTCCGTCTTCAGGTAGGCTGGCAACCAATGGACTCAGCACGCGGACCGACCAACGACTGACCAAGATCCCAAATAGGCATCGTGCATACAAGCAATGAAAGTTTGCCCTGTCAGTTTTCGGGGTGCAGATGGTCCTTTTGCAAAACACCATTGCACCACAAGTTCGAAGTTACCATGCCACCAACTCCGGCGTCACCATCGAATGACTATGGTGCTGCACGTGTCCCTTGCAGGATATGCTGCCAGGTCCCCCACTGCACCTTAGACTGCCTATGGTCCCCACCTTATGGAGCACTCGGAATTACAGAGCTGTTCTAGGTGCCCCTGAATGCTAAAGCTCACCTGGAGGTACGTGCGTACTACCTCGAAAACGGAGTGACGTCTATGTCAGATGGCGCAACTCACTGGAAAGGTGAACGGCTATCACTTCCTGGGGTTCCAGCGATCCCACTTTGATATGTCAGAGAGCTCGCTTCCTTATCTCAATTCAACAAGCCCCTCCGTCACGACCCGTGGAATATTGACAGTAGCTTGGTTCGGGGCAACAGCGTATGGTGCGGAATAAGAAGGGTGACAATGAATAGCTGCAGGGTGAACCGCATGCGTCGGGGTTATTTCCTCAGACAATGATCAAGAACATTGCATTCATTTCACGCTCGGCTTTCGCTATTACCAATTCGAATACTAAGCGATCGCTCGTTTATTGAACGGAGAATCGCCTGGTGCTCCCGGTTAGCTACCACCAGTTCAGGAAATTCGGAGCATACTGAGACTGATCAGTGTTCCTGGTCATGATCGCTGCCAAATACCGGCAGAAATGGATTCTGTTGCCGCCATTATAATAACAGCCCGTGACGACCAAAAAGAGCGAGATAACGGCCGAGCGAAATAGGGCAATCAACACCTCCCTGTGATCCATGGCTGACCCTCGAGTTGCGCTGTTAATTTTCGCTTCGTCGCTCCCTCCACATGGCACCAGGAACGGTTTCATCCGCTTACCCGCCGATTGACTTGCTTGCTTGAATTGTTTCGCCGCCACTGCCGGAAAGCCACCTCGTTCTTGTTGCCCAGGTCTTACAGTACCTCCACCAAAATCGTGGTGGATGTCAGACGGCACTTGGCGACGAAAAGAGGATACTCCGTACCAACCCGAATACTATACGAGTGCATTCGCTCATGTCAAGTCCGAGGCCGATGGGAAGTCGAGGACTCGGACATACGAGTCCGCAATCTCCCTCTCGCTCGCAGACCTGAGAGGCTGAGACACCCTTCTTCTGACGGGGACACCAATCAAATTATCAAGCGTCATGGTCGTCATCATTGTCATATTAGGGCGCGCCGACATAAGGGGGGATGCCTTAGAAATCCTCTAAACTAAGGGTGTGTGCTGGGTCAGTGGTCGTGGCCGCCACACCATGGCTGAAACGCATCAAGCTCGATCCCCAGTACGATTACTCACACTCCGAGTATGTACTTGTGGGTTGATGGAATGGATTGGTTGATTGTGGGATTCTTTTCCACCGACAATCATATGAACCAACCAAGCAAAAATATTCTCTCCGTGACTGGCCGACGGGGAACGTTGCGATCCTAGTCGCCCATCGACCTCAACCAGCGCTCGACTGGGTATAAGCATGTCAGACTCACGCACCGAGGACGCATTGGGCAATTGGCGGCTTGATATCCGATTGGATCGTTCCTGACCTGATACAAAACCAATGCCTGGCGGAGCCCTGATCAGTGGTCAGTGTCAGGGTAAGCCAGTCAGTCAATCAACGGTCAATCAGTCAGTTGACCAACCATTGCACAAGACCGCGACGGAGAGGGCCAGCCTTGCCTATACTCAGTACGAGGTACGTTTGCTCCATGTATTTTGGCTTTCCACCTTCCACACTTTCCGTCGGCGTGGGCCCGGTCGATCTGCCCTGCGGACGAACCGTATGCATGTACCAACGACCTCGTACTTGTCCTCGGTCATTAGG